ATAAAATTAAAAATTAATTTGTCTGAAAAGGAAGTGAAAGACTCAATTGGGCAAATGAACCCCTGTCTACAAGTTCTGAATCCTTTCAACTCATTTAAGAAGCAATTTAAGCAATGTACACTATACTGAGATACGCTATTCAATGTTCCAAATGCTCTTATTGGGTTGAAAATATATTCACTGAATCAAATTCAAGTGGCAAACAATATTTTCATGGAATTCTTAAGAATATTTCTTCCATAAAACACCAATTGAAAATTAGATAATGTAAGTCTACGGGAAAATAAGACTCAACTTAGGGACAATTCAACTGAGGGACACTCTTGATGCACCAATTATGTCCACATCTGGGGGTCTCACTGTATTTGAAAATTTTCTGCACCTCAGCAAAAATTGTATGGAACTCCACAAGTCCAAAAATGTTACATGGAATTTTTTTGGTCTGCAGGTCCAAAAATGTGGGGAAACACTGGTTCAAGGTATGTTTATCCTGGTCATTTCCTGAGGGTCTTGAAGAACTACAATTTTTTCAATCATAATGTGAGGAAAATAAGGTTCAAAATTAGAAAAATATGCATCTAGGCTCAAATAGCAGGGAAATCTTCTTTTTTTTTTTTTTTTTGATTCTGCAGTACAGTATTGTTTCCCCCAACAGTTGGAGAACAGGGATGTTTTTATTTTCAAGAATCAGCGAGGACTTTTGTATTTGCCCCTGGCTAAACATCAAGCACCTTTTTCTAGCTCTATTCCTTTTCTTTCATTTTTTTTTTCGCTGGCCACACAAACCTGGAGCAGATTGCGCTTTTTGTCCTCGCTTCATATATTGCTGCTGCTGTGCTGTGGGCCAGGAATCTGAACAAAAGGGATGAAAGGGGGGTTGCTGTGGGGGGTAGTGGGGGTAGGAAAGACGGAAAAGCGGCGTGTTGTCTGACACCCGATCTGAGCAACAAGAGACAGAGTCGTGCTGCTTATTTTGCCAATCCCGGCGCTCTGCCAAAATAACTCGCCGATTAGCCGGCAAATCTCTCTCACTCTCACTCTCGCATATATTTTTCTTTTTTTTGTGTTCGTCGCTGATGTGATGATCTGAAAAGTCCCTGTGTATAGAGTGAAGAAACCAGCTGCCGCAGGGAATTAACCTTCCGCTTTAATCTCTCTCTCTCTCTCTCTCTCACACCGTTTTCAGCACCCCCTCAGGCAAAGGAATATATATATTTGCACGCAAATTTTACTGTCAAAGTTTAAGATTCCATATTTTAAGCGATGCCTCAATGTAATGGCTTTGACCACCACACAAAGTCACACCGTTTTCAGCACCCCCTCAGGCAAAGGAATATATATATTTGCACGCAAATTTTACTGTCAAAGTTTAAGATTCCATATTTTAAGCGATGCCTCAATGTAATGGCTTTGACCACCACACAAAGAAAAACCAAATTTCCTGTACGTGAATTGAGACCACTGGAGAAAATATTGACTGCCTCCTGAGTTGGATCACTCTTAATAATATAAATAGCATTCTTTGCAGTTTTCTTTTTGCACGTTCGCTTTGTGAAAAATAGGGATTCATATTTATACCAATAAGCCTGAAGGTCGCGAGTTTTTCCAGTTGATTTTCTTCCGGAGGTAGGATAAATGTTTGGATGAAACAAGAATAGTTTTTTGCAGTGGCAAAATTTCTGCTTTAACTGGAAAACAATTTATACTCTCAGCAATTCAGCAAAAAAAAAAGATCAACTTTTTATATGACAGGAAAAACGAATTAATTAAGCTTCAGTTCATATTGACCTTCAATAAGGCATATGATAATAAAGAACTTGAAGTTTGCATTCTAAAAATCTCCACAAAGATGCAAATTTTTAAATGGCAGAAGAAATTCAGTGACTTCAGCTTGAAAAAAAGCATTAAACCAGCTTCATTTTAGAGCTTGATAGCATCTTCTTTGCATGTCAAATTTCAAAAATGACCAAAAAGAAGAAATTTCAAAATGGCAAAAAAATTAATAAATGTAGCGTCAGTTCATTGACATTCCATTCATAAAATATACATTAGTTAGATAAAAATTTCTTTGAGTTCCAAAAATTTCAGAAAATCACCAAAAAGAATCAACTTTTGAAATTGCATTGAAAATTAAGGACTTATATCAGCTTCAAAAATCAATAAGCCAGTTTTATATTAGTTTTTGATGACTTCTTCTTTGCACGCCAAATTCAAAAACATCTAAAAATAAGACACTTTTAAAATGCCAAGAATAATTAACAATATCAGCTTCAAAAATTAAAAATTCAGTCAAATGTTAGGGCTTTTTTTTAACAAATTCTTTGATGCCAAATTGCAGAAACACCCAGAAAAAAAGCTACTTTCGAAATGGTAGGAAACATTAAAGACTTCAGCTTCAGAAATCAATAATCCAGTCTTACATTATTTCAACTTTCATGACATGACAACTTGCTAATGACAATGGGTTTCATGACAACTTCTTTGCATGCTAAATTTCAAAAAATATCCAAGAAAAAAGCCAATTTTGAAATGTCAGGAAAACTTAATGTACAGTACTGTATTCAGCTTCAGTCCATCAATATTCTAGCTTTACATTATAGGGTATCATGACATCTTGTTTGCATGTCATAACCAGGAATTTGGTTGAATTGTAGCACATACACCCAAATGCAGTAAACCGCATCCGGAATAGGACAGTAGTGCAATAAATGTTTTTGCGCAGAAAAGATAGGGTTGGAGGCAGGGGAACATGACAAAGCTGTCAATAACTGGATGTCAGAGGGGAAATTTACGCTTTCCTGCACCAGTCAAACACTGGTGCATATGTCACTGCCTTATTCCCCATCCCCCCCTTTTTTTTCCCCCAGGGCAATCCACTGAACCCCTAAATCCATTCCTTGTTTTCTTTTCTTCCGTCAATTGAGGTCAGTGACTCACATGGGTAAATATTTATGACATTCTTGTATGAATCACTGTATAAAGAGAGAGACTGTGAAGAGCCTTTATACTGATGGGTCCTTAATAGCAAAAATCTGCATCACCAAATGTTTAAAATATATACCTGAAGAAAATATTACTTACATATCATATTTTCCAAATTAGCAACTTGTCAATACAAAATATTCCTCATTTTCAACAATTCATCCAAATATAATTTGGAAATTCAGATTTCAGAAACTAATAAGATGTGCCTCAGGCAAACAGTTTTTCATATCAAATTACTCATGGGATTATTGTCACTGCATCTGAATGAATTAGCAAAAATCCACATTTATTCACAAGAAATACAGTACAGCAGTTTATCATTGAGAAAGCAGCTGATATTTTTCAGAAGAAGAACAATTTGGATTTTTTTTTGTTGAACCAATGTTATTGGAGCTTTAGACTTTAAACAAATTTATGAGGGCAATATTTGTTACCAAATTGCTCATGCGATTGTCATATTGCACCTGAATAAACTTGAAAAAGTCTGTATACTTATTTTCAAGAAATACAACAGCTTATTGAAAAAATAATTTGATATTTTTCAGGAGAAAAAAAATTAACCTGCATTACTTTTTCTGTTGAACCAGTTTTTATTGCATGCAGTACAACGCGGTGTTTATAACTGACCAATTTAAACAGTTTTGCGGGTATAGCAAAAATTCTAAGGTTTGAACCAATCCATTTTTCTAATTAAATTTTAAGGAATATGTGTTGTTTTTTTTTAATCCAATATCCAAATTCTTTGGGTGAATGCCGGATAAGTATCAGATTGATGATTTCCGGGTCTTCTGATCGATTCATTGATCCCCAGAAATATTTGCTACACGAGCATAGCAGGAATCCTTCACTGATGAATTGAGCCATTACGAAGCATTCTTTCTCGTTTTTTGCTGCATTTTTCACAGCGAAAAAAAAAATGTCATGCGGGTGATTTTTCACCTAAACTAGGGTTTTTTTGCGCATTCAAAAGAAGCCCGCATGAAACATTTGGGTTCTCCTTTTTCATGGAAAAAAGTATCTGGGAAGCAGAAGTTGAACAATCATTTGCAAAACCAGCATGTATATATATGAGCCTTTTGTCCTGATTTTGCCAGACCATTGGATACATTTCTAGATATATACAGGGTGGGCCAAAAAAGTGGACCCATTTTTGACTAAAAATTGTTAGGTTTTGGAGGTGTGACAATAAAAAAAACCAAATGAAAGCTTGTTCAATTCATTTTCAAATGGTTTTTACTATTATGATGCCAAGTGCTACAACATGGTTCCATCAGGAACAACTTGAATGAAAAATTTCCACAAAAAAAGTTGTCAGGCAACTCCTTGCACTAAGCTGATGTTCTTTGGAGCTGTTTTTTTTTTTATAAATGGCGTGCAGAACTAGTACTTTAACAAGAAAAGCTGCATGCTGACTTCAAAAAGGTGCACACATTGCCAACATTTTTAAGGTGGGACTGAGAAGTAAAAATAAATAAAAATTGGCAGTGGTTATGTTGCTCCACTCCCAAATCTGGATCAGCTTCATGGCTCCTGCTGTGACATACCCAGCAAGCAATTTTTTTTAATGACTGCATTGCTCAAAATTAGTTTCACTGAATAATATTAGATGTAGATAGAAAGATAAATGAGCTTTATCTCCCACTTAATGTCAGCATTCACAAGGTTCAACAATTGTTTCCCACATCCCATCATCCAAATCAAACCCCCCTCCCCCCCCCCTCCTTCTCCAGCATACACATCATTCAAACATATTCCAGAGTGCAGGTGGAACCTTGCAATTTAACCTCCAACAATTCATCCATACCCCAATTTGACTGTCAAATTTTCTGGGAGGTTTACATGCAATTTTAAATCTGCCTGCAATTTTTCCTGTTCCAGCTTTTTCTCTGGCCTTTTTGTGCTGCTTTCACTTGCTTTTTGACTGTTTTGCAATTCAACCCAAATTCAGCAAAAGGTTAGGGTAAAATTGTGGGGTACTGCCTGTATGATGAGAACTGAAGAAAGAAAATCAATAAATGGTTAGTAAAATAAAAAATACTTCACAAAACATACCAACGCATGAATAAAACAAATGCATGATTCGTATTTTTTCAGATAACAATCTCAAAAAAAAATAATCCTCATGACCAGCAATCACTTTTTTCTTTGTTGGTCAATTTTCAATAATAAGTTACCATTTCCCTAGCTGATCATCACAAACAAAATCGGAATGAAAAAAGGAAAAAGCTTGAATTTTGTGTTGTTTTTTTCATTACCACAGCTCAATTTGCTACCAGGCTATTTCAAGCCAACAATTGGTTCATTTATTTTCTATGGCCCACCCTGTATGCAAGTACTGTATATAATTTATTTCATTTTATATTTTTGGTCCTAAAAAAAATGCTTTCAAAAAAAATAGGTGCGATGTGAAGGAGGGTCGGGCAGATTGGAGGCAGCTGCTGAGAAAGGAACCCAATGGACCCAACACTTGTTGCTCGCCAAGGATTGCCACTCGAAAAATGTCCTGGTTTCCGGGTTGGTCGTCGCCACGGGTTGCCAAAGCCGAGAGGATCCCGTCATTGTGACGGGTACCGTTTGTTCCGCGGATTTGCGGCCAGGTGCCCAGGTTCTCGCCTGGTTCTCGGACGAAATCTGCGCGCAAATCGGCATGCCGTTCCTCGGGCTCAGTCACATCAAAGGTAAAGTCAATACTCACGACCTAAAATATATGCGGATTTGCGGCCAGGTGCCCAGGTTCTCGCCTGGTTCTCGGACGAAATCTGCGCGCAAATCGGCATGCCGTTCCTCGGGCTCAGTCACATCAAAGGTAAAGTCAATACTCACGACCTAAAATATATACTATAACTGTAACATATAAAAATAAAATTTGCTTGATAAAATCATCTTCAACCTCCATAAGTTCAAATTTTGACTTATGGAGGTTTGAGGGGAAAAGCCTTGCTTTGACTTGAAGAGGTTTTCCATGTACAGTATTTTTTCTAAGGGAATTCAGATGGGGACCTGACAAAATTTGACTTAGAGGGGTATTTGACTTAGGGAGGTTTGAGTTATTGAGGTTCAACTGCATAAAAAAAGTAAGCAGATGCAATATGTCAGATATATGAAATTCATTTTAAAATTAAACTGTTGAAAAAAAATTACAAAAAGGAAAAATCTTGCTACAAAAAACCGTTTATGTATAAAGACCCCCAAAAAATCAGTCATTATATCAAGATTCTTATACAATGTTACGCCTTTTCTACAATTCTGTAATCATCAAGTGGCTAAAATCCCTTGCACTTCGAATTTTTGAAAAATCAGCATACTTGAAGAAACTAACAATTTTTTCATTCAGTAATAAATATTTTTTCACAGCATATGTAACGAAGTTCCTCAGACAACGACTTTGTCCACTATAAATGCATTCATCATATGACTTCCTGATAATTACCTGAGGGTCAATCTGACATTTATAAATCTTGGGAAAAGTTCCAAACCAACATTTTCTGCATCTTCAAGTCCAACAATTTTACAGCTCCTTCAAATAAAATTAAAAAACCATAAAAATACCCATTTTGTGCGGAACGTTTTTATTTATTTTCATACGACATTTTCATGTCAAAAAAGTTTTTCGGCATTCTATCAATTTTTTCCTTGCTGAGAAAACGTTCTGTGTAAAAAAAAATAGTTTGACCTTCCATTGTTTAAAATTCTTAATAAATAGCAACTTCAGATAAAGTCTAATGATCCCTTGATATGGTAGAATTATTTCTTGACTGGAAGTTCATCGCATTTAACGCTTTGCGGAAAAAAAGATGCTTCAAGATTATAATTCTCTCTCATTTGTATTATTCTTCAGCACAAAAAAGAAAACTGGCAAGTTATTCGCATATTATTTGCTGGACAATGAAAAAGACAAGTACTCCATTATCTCGTTTTACCCCCTGAATGAGGAGGGGGGGGGGGCCAAAATTCCTGTGCCTAATTGCTTTTCCTTGGACCCCAGATAAACACGCATTTTATTTTTCCCGCGCCTCCGGGGAAAAGATAAAAATTTTGATTGATGACCACACGCAGGTTGGCGGGATTTTATACCTGAAAAAAAAAACCCCTGCTGGGGTGTGGGTGTTCTTTCATTCATCTTTTGTGTTTTTGAGCAAATGTGCGCTTTTTCTGTCAGTCAGAAAAAATGTTGAAGAATAATATACAGCAGAGGAGATTGTTTCGTGGTGATGGCTTTTGATGCGTGTTCCGCAGATTTGTTTTCGCATTCCGGAGGGAATTTCCGCGCGTGAAAAATCCGGGATCATTATAATATGGCTTATTTTTTCTGGGAAAGAACTTTTTTTTGTTTTTGCCTCACCTTCAAGGAAAATGAAAGATATACGCAAGGGTGTGTTTAGGAATTTTCATATAGATACGTTCTTCCGTTCTCCGAGTCCTTTTAAATAAATGCGAGCGGAAGTAATTAGAAAATGCAGTATTCTATTGTTTTGAGAATTTCCAGACCACCTCTGTTTTAAGAAAAATGAAGAAAAAATGGCTTACAAATTATTCACATCCTTGTGAGGAAATAAGTTTCACCTGTCAAACTGGTATTTTGAAAAACTTTTAATATACAATACTGTTGAAATACAGTGAGACCCCCAGATGCGGACTTAATTGGTGCATAGAGTGTCCCTATGTTGGATTGTCTCCAAGTCAAATCTTGTTTTCCCATAGACTTACATTGTATAATTTTTAATTTGTGTTTTATGTAAGAAATATTCTTCAGAATTTCATGAAAAAAATGTTTGCCACTTGAATTTGATTCAATGAATATCTTTTCAAACAAATAAGAACATTTGAAACCTTTAATAGTGTACCTCTGTACAGTAAATTGAAAAGTTGGCATCTGGAAAAATAACATCCATGTCACAAAGAGAGCTAGAAGGAAGTCCCTCTGTGCTATAGGGCATTTTTTAAATTAGCTGAATGGATGGGAAAATGATGGGAAAAGAACCAAAGAATTTTTCTTGCATGGATCTTAGGTTGGAAACATCTGTTTCTTGCAATTAAGCCTTATAAAAATTGATTTTCCTCAAATTTATTTTGGAATTTTATCCTGCAATGTCCCCAGGTTGAGTCAGTGTCCTCATGTCAGGTCTTTCTTATGATTGTTTGTTTAAAAATAAATGTCCCCACGTTGAATTGTCCCCATCCTGTTGAGGCGTCCTCATGTGGGGGTCTCACTGTACTTATTATGGCATTGTACTTAAATTTAGAGAAGGAAGCCACAAATTGTACTTGAAAAATGAGCTTTTCAAACCAAAGATAAGTTTCAGAAATTTCAGTAAAGGTAGATTTCCATCAGGTGAATTCAGACAAAGACCCAGCAGAAATCCAAGTCAGGAAATTTTTGAATAAGGAAAACCAGCATTTTTCCTGTGGGAAGGAGGGAGTGAAGAATTGCAGAAAGGAAAATTTTGTTTTCTTCAGGACCTTGAACTGATAATCTTAGGTTTTTTTTAAGAGGTTTGAGTTAACAATGTCCAAATTGGATGATCAAACAGAATATATTTGATATTTGAAGATGAAAATGCTGTACAATCCATCTCAATCTGGGGCTTCTTTGTATTGATTCCAGGAGCCTCCCCAATGCCAGGTTTGGGTTTCCCTGCAGCAGCTGCAGCTGCTGCTGCAGCAGTGGGCCAATTGTGCGGATTTCCTGCACTTTTCCCACCCGGAATCCCGTTCCCTGCCCACGCTTCAGCGCTTCTAGGCCTTGGAAGGTTCCCTGCACTATACCCAGGGTTGCCAGCATCACCTGCGTTCCACCGGCCACCTCAGACCCCCGTGGAAATGTCCTTGCCAACAAGTAAGTCTTTGTGAATTACGCAATTTAGTTCATTTTAAATTGTTAGTCAACCTTTTTAAACCCATGGACTGGCAAGTTTCCAAAAAAATGTTCGCCAACCAGCAAATTTTCATAGATTTTTTCCAGTCTCAAAAATATTTTTTGTTTTTAAGTCTTGATGGTAGGTACTGCACTTGAAAAGTTTCTGATTTTTTGCAAATTTAATCTGAGAACCACTGAAGCAGCTACAGTTGAACGTCTTCAACAAATTTGAAAGCTGCTGGGCTTGAATAAGGAAGGTTTCTTCAGATGAAAAATTAAAATAACTTATTTCAGCAGGTGAATGTTTGTGTGAAGTGTTATTAGGAGAAAAGCAAAAGTTTCATTTGTCATCAGCAAATTTGAACTGCAAATGTCTTTCCAAAATTTCAGATAAAGACAACAGACTTCATTGCTACTTTTGATCAATTTCTTATGCGTAAAAAAATTTCCAAGGACCAGCAAAAAACTTTTGTAGGCCAATGCCTGACTGCAGACCCTAAGTTGGGGAACACTGATTTAGAATTCATTGACTGAATTTGGTCAAACAAAGCATCAATATTGTAGTTCTGGTCTGTATGCCAAAAGTAATGAAGTATACTTGAAAATATAAATGCCCTCATCAGAAATTTAATCATCATTTGGAATTCAAGCTTAGTGGAGTCTTGGGGAACAAATACAATCTTTTACAGTGAAAAGCCTGCTATATTTGTAATGTTGGTAATCTGGATTTCATTTCTCCAGAAACTATTCCAATACATTCTAATCTAATGAGTAATTTTGTGTATTAGTGTTTTCTAGTTTGGTCAGTGTTTGTTAGCCAGTGCAGGACAGCTTAGATACAAACACAAAATATTTTTTGACATCATCATTAGCTAAGACCACATTGTAACCATTTCCTCCATCTTGACAGTAATGCCAGGACCAGGAACCAGTTCAGTACTGCAGCCTTCACCCCCTCAACCATCAACACCAGGGGCTCACATGTCTAATGCTGACCTAGAGACAATGGTCTCCAACATTGGTAGAGGGAAAGGTGGTCATTTGTGCCTTTACTGTGGGAAAATATACTCAAGGAAGTATGGATTGAAGATCCACATAAGGACTCATACTGGGTACAAACCATTGAGGTGCAAGGTTTGCCTGAGGCCATTTGGAGACCCCAGCAATCTGAACAAGCACATCAGGCTTCATGCCCAAGGAGACACTCCTTACAGGTGATTACACACATCACTGTTTGTCCTTATACAGTATAATACTTTGGGCAGTGGAAGGATTCTTAATGCTTTCTAGACTGTGCATGGCAAAGAGTTCTCTACAGTGCATGATGCATCTTCCATTAATTAATTTAATTCACCCATCACACTGCAACTGACACTGAATGACTTACAATTCAAGCCTCATTATAAAATTAACATATTCTACAAAAACGAATTCTGAACAACTTCCACTAAGTTACTATGTAGTAGAAACTGAACCATTTGTTATCCAGTACATAGTCCTCAGATGAGAACCATTTCTATACAATTTTTCTAACAGCCCATGCTGAGAACAAATCACTTATTTTACAGCTGCAAGATTTTAGCCATTGAGAAGTCCACAAATATTGAAATGCTTTTGTTGGCCTAAATGATGAGTTTAGAGGATTGCAGCAGTTGATGTTAAAGTTGCACAGCACACAAGGGTTATTCCAATTACGCTCCACATGCAGACAAATATTTCTGGAACAGACAGATAGTTGAGTTGATTCATCATCCCTTTTAAAAATGCTTTAAATCCTCTTGAACATTTTCACCATTTTTGACAGATTTTTTATCAGATTGAAAGTGAAAAAACTTGACTGAAGTTGTGGCCAAGACGTAGTATTGATTTCATTAGGTGATGAAGTTTTTCAAAGCAATGAGCCAAAGTCAGTCACTTTTATACAGTAGTTCTGACTTATTTATTACTGAAGTTCCTCAAACTTTTAGAATTCCTGAATATTTTGCAATCACCTGGGATGAAATAAACCTGGGTAAATATTGAGTGTCTGTGAGGCGGATATCATTATTCATTCAAATTCTGTTGCAGCCCCAAGTGCCAAGTCATCCCAGTCATCCTAGTGAAAAAGCATTTGGTCAGAAAATAAAAACAAAATGCTCCTTCATCTGGAAAATCAAAATCGAAGTCCTTCTTTGTTATCCTTACTTGCCAAATTTAAATTCTTGTGGTTTTCCTTGGCTTGTTGCTGAAGGGTAAACATTTTCAAGAAATAGTAATTCGAGCCAAGCAGGATATCAACTTGTTCTCATGCAGAATTATATATCATTCAAATGCGCTGTTGAATTTCAAAACAAAGAAAAGAGCTCTAAAATATTTTTGCATGATAGATTCCTTCATTGTAAATGCATTCAAAAGAAAATAATGCATTGATGCGGAGGAGGATAAAAGCCACCTATCATTCCCAAACAAATTCAAGTACTGCAAATTTTCTGTTATATAACAAGCCCAAAAGAAGAAACTGAAATAGAAAGAATTAAACTTACAAAACTAAGCTGCCATAACTTGAATATATTGTTTCTTTTCTGCAATTTGGTATACTGAAATTATTAATAATAGTTATCAATAGAAAATTCTGTACATTTGATGGGAAATTGTGGAAACGAAGTGTTGCAATCCAAACAAAAAAATTATCAACTGAGGTAGACAACTTTGCAAAAATTTTGATAAGAACATTCCCTCGTCATCAATGGAAAGTTTTCGCTTATTATCATGTCATGTTACAAAAAGTTTGCCAACAATGATTTCAACATTATCAACATATTGTAATCAGACTTCAAATGGAATAAAACTACATGCCCTTTCGCTTTGTCCAGACTTCATAAAGTGATTCGTAAACCCGAAACTGTTTTTCATCATCCTCTAAGCCTATAAATTGGTCTCGTCGATAGATGCGACCTCTGCGGCAAGATCCTCGTGAGACGACGCGACTTGGAACGACATCTACTCTCCCGTCACCCAGACCAAGCACCCACATCTTCCGGGCTGTCCGCAGAGAACGCTCGACGGCAAGAGCCCGACACCAGCGGTTGCCAATCGCGCGACGCCGACGACGACCAAGACCTCGACGTCGGAACTGAAAGAAGACCCATGACCTCAACCAGCTCATTCCGGGTCATGGACTTGTCCTCTTCGCAGCGGCGAAGAACGTCGGATTCGTCAGATGATTTTGCGCCGTCATCTTCCACAGCGACTTGTGAAGACATAGACGTAATAGATGATGCAGACAATGCCGGAAGTTTTCCGGAGTCGACGCTCATGATTTGAAAAAAGGGGAAAAAAATGCTAACTTTCTAAACGTGAAAAGTGTTCAGAGCATTCCAAAGGAAACAACATTCTGTGATGAAGGAACTGGTCCAAACACACTGCCAATGATCTCTTTGTATTACGCGCGGAATGAATCAAAACATTTTTTGTACAGATTACGAAGTGCCAATTTATATTGATACTCCATATAAATAGACGCTATTCCACCAAAACTTTCATTTTCATTTTTAATCCAGGAATTCCTAAACTCTTCTCTTCAATAATTCATGCTAATCTTCACAATTTCGGATCATCTGACTCAATTATTACACGGTCAATCAATCGTGATCAATATACAGTCCAAGCGTCGATCTCAAAGTTAACGCATTCACAGTCGAGCCAAAAATAAAAATTGAATATCCCGAACAGAGGGAAATAATCACACGACAATCTTCAAAATTTCACATAATTTGACCTAATTAGACGGTCAATCAGACGTAATTAATATACAGTACAGTCAAAGCGTCGAACTAAAATACGGAGACAAGTTCCCAAAGATCAGAAAATTAATTACATGGTAATCCTCATGATTTCGGATCATCTGACCTGATCGAAATGCAGTCAACCTTAATTGCAGTATTGCTGATGCGTAGATCCGAAGTGCTTTACGCTGAAATTGTAAGAAGAAGCTTTCAATTCCTAAATTTTGATTGTTTAAAATTGTGTCATGCAAGTCAGAAAATTACACCACATAAAATATCCAGATGAACACCCAGTCAAATTTTCAGTTCTGGTGCAGTTCCTTTCCAGCCTGTGATTGAAAGCCTCCCCACAAACAAATACACTAAAATTTTGATTTTTTACATTTTTCAAAATGTAAGAATTTTCCCAGATGAGTGAGACAACTCTCAAAATCTTTTGATCTTTTGACAATTCGAAAATTTTCAAAGAGCTGTGGTACTTCAGTGAGTTTCTCTTACACCTTCTTGAGAGAAGTTCCGGAATTTCAGGCCAAGTAAACATTTTAAAGACGTTACAAGGACTGAAAGTACCCGTGGAAGTTACAAACTTTTGGTTAATTTTAATAAAAACGTAAAAGAGTTCCCTTTTACACTAAACCAATTGTTTGATGTCCACCTGAGAGAGATGTTGTTTTGTGTAGGGATCAGAAATTTTTTTTTTAGAGAACCAGTATAACATGGGGAGAGAACCCTATAGGACAAAATAAAAATTCATTGGACAGAAATTTGTTGTAGACAAGATTGTTGTAGATGGAGTCCACCTGTATTTCGTCAACAAACTTTGCTTAGGAACTTATTACGTTTGTAAACCAAGACCCGACTGTACATGCTTTCTAAGGGAATTCTTTCACAAACTCAAAAAAAATTTGGTATAGGAAGGTATTTGACAGGGAGGTTTGGGTTATTAAGGTTCAACTTAAACTCCTACAAGTCAAAGTTTTTTGCTGGCCCCTTGGAGTTCGACTTGGAGAGGTTTGACTGCATTTCAAGATTCATAAACCAACAGCAGAAAGTTTCGACTCAATTTTTGCAATGCTGGAATTCAAAAAATGCCATTCATGAAGGTAACACGCTGTAAGTTTTTGGCAACCATATACCGTTCAGTACTGTACTTTTAAAAAAACGAAGGTTGGTTACGGAGTTGCGTGAAAAATGGGTTTATTCGCAAGAAAAGAAACAAAATATGCATATATAATCTCGACGAGATCGCTACTCATCAGACTCTAGAAACTTTTCCCATTGCCCGAGCCGTTCCTTGCGTTCTTCCTCCGTTTCCTCTATCCTATATTTCGTTTTACCGTCCCACAACTCGGCGATGAGGCGCCGGTCGCCGAAGAGTCGCCGGTTCATGATTTGCACGCACAAGTCGGAATTCTCGAATTCCTTGAACACTACTTCCGCCACGCCGTCGGGATGCCGATCGTGAAGCACCACCTTTTTCGCGCCGCCGAATTTTTCGCACTCGCTCTTCAATTGCGTCTGCACGTCTAAAATGAGTTTTGGATCTTTCTTGAAAGTTTCAGGGTCAAATAGGTTCTTCATGATGACGACTTTGTCGCTCCTTGGACGCTGTCCTCTGAGCTCATCCGGTTTCCAAGCCAGAAGTTTCTCCTGAAGAGTCGANCCGTTCAGTACTGTACTTTAAAAAAAACGAAGGTTGGTTACGGAGTTGCGTGAAAAATGGGTTTATTCGCAAGAAAAGAAACAAAATATGCATATATAATCTCGACGAGATCGCTACTCATCAGACTCTAGAAACTTTTCCCATTGCCCGAGCCGTTCCTTGCGTTCTTCCTCCGTTTCCTCTATCCTATATTTCGTCTTACCGTCCCACAACTCGGCGATGAGGCGCCGGTCGCCGAAGAGTCGCCGGTTCATGATTTGCACGCACAAGTCGGAATTCTCGAATTCCTTGAACACTACTTCCGCCACGCCGTCGGGATGCCGATCGTGAAGCACCACCTTTTTCGCGCCGCCGAATTTTTCGCACTCGCTCTTCAATTGCGTCTGCACGTCTAAAATGAGTTTTGGATCTTTCTTGAAAGTTTCAGGGTCAAATAGGTTCTTCATGATGACGACTTTGTCGCTCCTTGGACGCTGTCCTCTGAGCTCATCCGGTTTCCAAGCCAGAAGTTTCTCCTGAAGAGTCGAAAAAATTATTTAAAATAAACTCTTCGTAAGACAGTCATACTTCAATCCCAATACGGTTTCAAAATACAGTATATACCCCTTCTGGATGATCTGTAATGATCGATAATTTCCAAAATCCAAATTCATTTCAACGCAATTCGTAAATTTCCGTATCAGGAAAATATTATCGTGAGAAAGAAATTCTTGATTTTAAAGGATTCATCTTCAACGCGAAAAAGGAAAAGCTATCTACACATTTTCCAGCAAATTTGTAACAAAAAGGTACCGCAATACAGATTTTTCAAAAAACGGCCTTTGCCTTTGGAAAGAACAAAGGCAGTTTCGTGGGGAACAGAACCCTGAGTCAAAGGATTAATTCGTTTTCAACACTCCAAAACTGAGAGGCAGCCAAAGAGAACCCCGAAACAAACAAGAAACACTCATTCTTTCCTAATCTGAAGTAGAAATGCTTCTTAACTAGCTCTCCTTCTCACAATTTTTACACTTTTCCAAGGAAAAAATAAATTTTCTGCATGCAAAAACATTTCTTCTGTCCCACTAGGAAATACATTTTGAGGAATATTGGCTGTAACTGGAAACTTTCCACTCAGTAAATTGAAAAACTTTTTTAATAATTCAAAACAAATCCCAGAACCTTAGAACATTATGATTTTCTTTGAACAATCACGCCTATTCTAAAATTATCAGAGGTCGCGTACAACTGGGACGACCCTCGTACGGTCGTACACTGAAAGGGATGATGTTTGGACAGGTCATGAGAAAATACCAGACCAGTACTAACCTGCATTTTCTTCAGTTTCTCCTTTTCCTGTTTCCTCTTTTTCCGCGGCTTTTTCGTAGGATCGTATTCTCCCTTTTGCGTGAATTCAGCTGGCTCAACTTTCAAATTGAATCCTCGGAGGTTGTAGCCATCCAAAATTTGAAGGGCGAGGTCGACAGATTCCCGGCGAATGTAACAACAGCGTCCATCACCCTTGACTTTGCCGTCTTTATTCAAATAAAGTTTCACCTACGAACAAAGAATAAAATCTGTAATAATCATCTGCCTCGCAAAAATAGACTTTCTTTGAATAATAAGTTACATTCATTTACGATTAAATAATCAACACAAAACAAATACGCACCTTCATTTTTCCGGAGTCCGGGTCTTTTGCCACCAAACCACATTTTGACATGGTCGTTACAAATTCTTCCTCCGTAATATCTAAGGGCAGACCTGCGCAATCGAACGAAAACATTTCATTATAATTCCGTTATTCTTTGTTACATTCAAAAATCTTCCTTTTAAGAATTCCAGGCAGAAATTGTCCTAACCTGAACTCATCTAGCAACACGCGTAATACCGTCACCCAAATTATCACAACATGAAATAACCTGACCTATCTTGAACCACAGAAAATGCGACCGGAAGTCAGGTGACAGTCGTGACATCGATGCGATAAAAATCAAGGAGTGTTTCTCTGCTTTATGCTGAAAATTTTAGGAAAATATTTGCTCAGGGATGCTGGTATGTAGTACAGTGATTCAAAAACATACTTTTGTCTTGATTACAGTATTTCTGGACTACGTCAAGAAAAAAAGAGTGAAGAAGTATTGAAAAACTCCCTAACTCAAAGGATTTCGCTTTCAAACCTCCATAAGTCGAATTTTCTAGAGGCCATTCGGCTATTATTTCATTGACAGGGGAAAAAGAAAGCAATAAAAAATGTAACGATGTGTTTTGAAAGGAAGTGAAGACTATTTGGTTTAATAAACCCTTGCCTCCACGTTCAGCATCCGGCCAACAGATTCAAGTAGCAATTTAAGGCCAAGAATATCGCCAATTACAATTTCCTGTAATTCTTCACCGTGATCCTCACATCAGATTAACCGCCAAGTCATTCTCGACATTAAACCAAACCCGAATAAGCAACGTGTTTGGACAAGATGATTTAATGAGCAATAAATTTCAAGTGCTGCTGAGCTGGGAAGTGAAGAAGGATTTTAAATTTTTAATAAAGCAATTTTTCATAAATCTGATAAGACACCAACGCCTTCGTTGCAGAAAATTTCCAACAATTTCAAAGCCTCAGCAAAAAAGAGACACGCGAGGCAGGAATTTCTCAAATAATCCGAAGAACATCGTGCAATTTTTTTTTTTCAAACAAACCTTGTACATAAACATTCGTATTCTTCTCGGCTTCTATTTGAAACCAGGTTGGATTTTCAGGTTTTCTTTTCTTTGCTGGTTTCTCCTCCTGCTTTTCCGGTTCCTCGGCCTTCGCCTTTTCCTCCACTTTTTCTTCGTCCTCGTTCGCAACCCCGTACTGCATTTGGTAAACTGCGAGGAAATCTTCGTCTATGAGAGGAAACCAAGCGCTTTTGCCCTCGTCCCATTCGTAAATAGTGTTGTCAACGGCGTCTCGGTAACACTTTTTCCCGGTGTCCTTGTCCACGAAGTGCTCATTTTTTCGCCATTCACTAGCACTCGGCACCCACACGAGTTCCTCTCCTTTCTCGTCCTTACATCTGCAACCGGAACGAAAAAAAAGAAAATAATATATAGAGCTCACATCCGTATCAACACAGCAGAGTTTTTAATGAGTCGGCAAAGAAATAAGAACAAACTTGGCATTAAAACGGAATTGAAACCCAAAAATTGGGTGTTCAGAACGTTTTTGTATCGATCCTTCGGATTTAATAAATATTCCTGTCTAAGCTGATGGCAACACGAAGTATTTCATCGTATGTCTTCGGCATTAAATTGCATTCTTAATTTTGCACTACAGCGTTTTGGTAGAATTTGCCATTAATTTAAATGCACATTTGAGGGGCGTAACATTAGATATTTTGAACACCGGAACTGTTGCACACATTTCCATTGGATATAAACATCTTGAACCATTCATCAATTACGAACTACCATAGTTACGCCAATAAAAGCATCCCGTTTTTCTCCAATTTCACAAGCTGAAAAACCAGAGCGTGCTTATATTCTCTCATTCACGCAAATCATGTGAATATGTGGCTATATCAGAAAATCTACCTGTTCGCGGCCCACACAACGAGCAAGCATTTCTTCTTTTCAGTTCTTTCTGAATTAAAGTTTAAAATAATCAGAAAAAAGATCAGCTTTTAGCACTGCACGATGCATGAGTAAAGTGACTGCAGGGGAAGAGCAAGGGTTGCGTGGAAAAGTTTTTCTTTTTCTAGGGAAAACCTAAATTTAGTCAGAAATCTTGGGTTCCTGAAAAGTCAGAACACCAGGGAAGTAAGTTCGTGCTTATATTCGTCTTTGTTGGAATTTTAATTTTGTGCACGAAAAATCTAGGGAGTGATTATACACAGTAGAATCTCGTCACAAAGAATCTCAATCCAGCAAACTACAGTGTTGCACACAACGAATTTATTTATTTTTTTTTAGTTTCTGTCCAATAGCCAGTGTTACTCCAGGGTATTTTTAAAGAACTTTTGTTTATAACGAAGCTTTTCTAAGGTTCCAAACGCTTCACTATACCGAGATTTTACCATCTGTGATCATGTAAATTCCGTGCACTCTCGGCATCACAGTCTCACAAGTGTTGTTTTTCAGCAAATATACAATTAATAACGAAGAAATTTCAAGATAGGTTTTTTTAAAAACGCAAACGAAGAATTACCAACACTTAATTTTGGTGTCTGTTGCTCATTTACATTATATCAAGGTATTTTACGTTCGCTCAATTTTATCTTCCAAAAATGCAATGCTTGTATCCAACCACGCATGCGTTCGTTCATTCATTCAAAACAAAAGTCCGTCAAGATTTCCACAGCCCAACTGCAAAAACATTTCTCAAAAATAACGTGCCTGTAAGCCCCGTTTCGAAATTCGCAATTCTGCGAAGGAGGGGAAGTTTGGTCCGCTCCCTCAATTGATTTCCATTCCGAAGCATCGTCGTCCCAGTATTTCTTCTCAGAGGTCACAGGGTCAATGCACACGTATCTCCCATTTTCCCAAATTGGGTCAGACGATGACGACGGTAAAGGCTTCCATTCGGATGACGCCTCATCCCAGTATCGCTTTTCTTTGGTTTCGGGATCCGTGTGCACATAACGACCATTTTCCCACACCGGTTCTGACGGAGTTTCTTTTCCTGGGATGAAACCGACGAAAACGGAGATTTAGTACCGGTATTTACTCGAGTACCTGTACCACGCGCACCTTTTTTCAAATAAATTGGGTCAAAAGAGAGGGTTAGCGTCATATACAAAATTTCAGGTGCCATTTTTATAGTTGAAATTGTTCTCCCCCTTTCACATGTTTTTCTGAGTTGTTTAAATTAATGATACTGTACTATCATTTATATAAAAAGTGTATAAAATAATTTGAAAACTTATTGTAATTTTGAGTCACCTCCATCAAGGTTTTCAACTGACACAGTTTTGCAAACACAGCAGGAATTGTGATAGCTGAAAAATAAGGTGCGCGTCTTATGCAGGGTATAAACTTTCTAAAATGTTTCAGTAATTTAAGAGTGCATCATACGTGATTCTAATGGGAAATTTCGGACTAAGTTTTAGAGAAAACCATAATATACTTGATTAGAAGCAATTGAAAATTAGTTGAATTCATGTTCAATTCATGTCAAAATTCAAATTTGGGGTTTGTTATCTTCAATGTACTGTACAGTATTTAGGTTTTTGATTCACTGAAATTTTATTTATTTGGCAGTGCTCCATTACACTCCCACCTGGATACCAGGATAATTGCTTTACTAGATGCAGTACAGCAGTTCATAAGAGGAAGGTTCAGTTGAGAGTCTCCACTACTGTACAATAGGCAAAATGAGCCCAATTAATTTTTAGGCCACTGGGTCTGTTTTACAAGAGAGAAATCATTTGAAACTTGTGCGCGCTGCTTTTATACTGTACATCTTTTCTAAATTTAACATATTGATTAAAATAGAAACTCAACTTTTTCGCTAGATTTACAAATTTTTGGCACTCTGTGACATGGGTGGAGAACCCTCGCCGTAAATGGGAAGTTGTCACTTATCATCACGCATTCAATTGAAAAACTTCTTCAAAAATTCCATAACCTTAGAAAAGCATGGGCAATGTCAAGATTTTTTTATATGATCACGTCTACTTGAAAAAATATCAGAGGTCGCGTCCAACTGGGACAAACCTCGTATTTCTGCAGAAAGAATTGCTTACAATCCACTGGGCACAAGAAGATTTCGATTGCATACCATTCAAAATAAAGCGTTAGGAAATTAACAAGGTCTCAAAGCGCAGTATAAAGCATTCAAAACTTTTCTTCACCGAGACTCATATTATGGACTTTTTTCTTTTGAAAGACGACAAAGTTCTCACGAATGACTCACCGATCACATTGGACTTGAGATCTTTGGGCACTGAACTATCCTCATCTGTTTTGCCTTCAACAGGCGATTTTCCACCTATAAATCAGAACCTTTCAAGCATCATCTTTCAACATATTCACACCCACACATTATTATACACACGATTTCAATTTTTTGTTTTATAAGAGTAAAGCGGAACTTACTTTGATCAGCGAGTGAATCTTCACAACGAGTCTCAGCATCAACTTCACGCTCCATAGATGCCTCATTTCCTATTTTATCGTAAAAATCTGTTAGTTTCGCACTCAAAATGAGTGATAAAAATAAAGAAGCTGACCTTTATCTGCAGATGCTGGATCCACATCATTTCCATCTTCTCCCAATGAACACTTTTCACCAATTCCACCGGAATTCTCATCGTCCGCCATTGTTTCTGAGAGGGGAGAAAACTAACGAAAAAAATGAATAATTAGGAAGTTTCCTCAAATTGAATTTCAATGAATGAATAAACCGAACATATTTGATGACAAGCACCAGTCTAATTTCCAAAACGCTGCAACATATCAAGACAGATGCCATCAACCCAGGCATTTTTTTGCTGATGAAAATTTACACTTTAGCCCACCCAAAAAGAAAAATAAAATGATACTTTCTTTTTCTTCTCCGATACATCCAATGCCAATGCGGTTCAACTTCATAAAAATGTACAACAAACAAAATAAAAAAAGACAACACAATGGCTACGCGCTCAGTTCTCGCAACACCCCTAATAGATTAATGTCGTTTTCTCTCACATCCGGACGGCGTCGAGTCATCATACAACCAATTAAATCACAGCAGACAGTTCAAGATAGTTAGCCACAACGGCAGATTAAAACTTCGCAGGACACCGAGATCCAGCATTGAAAAGCAAATGGCAGTAGCACAGAAAAAAGGAAAAATTAAGCACCTAATTAAATTTCAACCGGCTCTAGAACAATATTCTTGGCAAAACGTACGCCTGAGAATCTCACGTCAAACAAACAAACTCAGACAGAAATAAGAAACCCAGTTCAGCACGCTTATTGTAATAAAACTGAAAAAGCACAAATCCGCTGCATGTGGATGGGACGTACAAATTGTTGAGAATGCAATGAATCAAACATCACAGAAAGTTGTCGGAAGGTCCTTTTTGAGCTCCGGCGTTAAGATTCTTTTTTTGGCTCTTCAAGAAGCCAAGTGTTCCAATTCCGGTGAATAGGGCTCATACCGGAACTCATTCCCGATGTATGAGAAGTTTATTTGTGGCTGAAAGTAGAACACAAATCTCGGATAATTTTTTTCACTCATTCACACTTCGTAATAAAAATCTAATTTTTGCAGAAGAACAATCGGGTACCCAAAAAAAAAATACCAAGGTCAGAATCAGAACTTTTTATGAAGCTTCGAATCTCCAGGGAAATCAGAAGAAATGTCAAGTAATCCATCATGGTTTCACATAAATTTTTGCATGGAGCAAATGAATAAAATTATTTCTTAGCCATGAATTTGATCTGTGACGTCCGGACTAGTTGCAGATTTTTTTTTTGCTTCCGTTTGCAGAATTATTTTTTACAGGATTTCACTGTATCTAGACCTCGGCTACCGGTAAAAATTATTTCAACGCCACTCAGGAGCAAAAGCAGTTCTCATTTTATTTTGGATCACCACCGTCTTCAAAAACGGAGTCGTTTTCTGAAAAAATGGAGTAGCATTGAAAACAAAAATGACTCACCAAAGCACTGTTCTGAGCCATGGCCCGCAACTGGGCTTGCAAGCTGTGGAAGGTTGGCCTTTCCGACACTTCTGCTTCCCAACAGGACGCCATTAAATTATAGAATTCATCTTCTATGGTAGGTGCTTGTGCAAGTCGCACACCCTTCATAACCCGCGACATAAGCTCTTCGTTTGACCTGATGTCTCCATACGGCGTTGCTCCTGAAATCGAAAAATATAGGCGTGAAAGCACTTCTCAGCAATCCATCATAAATATTCAGATCAGAAGTGAGATTCAAAAAATTTTCCCAAAATGATAAAACTCAGTTCCTCCATCAAGGAATAGACGAACCTCGCACAAATTCATTCATTAAGTTTGAAAATGCTTCCTCAAGAAAAAAAATCTAAAATACAAGGAACAGGACGAGCGCTTTTCAAAAATGGATCAAGGAAAGTAAAATAAAAAAAACGAACCCAAAGTGGCGATTTCCCAAAGAAGCACTCCGAACGACCAAATATCCCCTTTTGGCGGGAAAAACGCGTATTGCGGGCTTTTCAAGGCTTCTTGCGGCAACCAACGAGTGAAATCAGGAGCCTGAGCCAACGAGTTGTAGTGACTGTAAGAAATGCCGCCAATTTTTGGCACGCTCCCTCCGACCAAACTAACAACTTTTGCACACAACTGCCGGTGCGTCACCTAGAAAAGAAAAAAAATGTAGATGCAGTTATTCGTCAGTAAAAGCCTAGATTTTTGTAAAACTCGACTCAACGTCCAAGCCATGGAAAAAAAAATCAAATTCTCAACATCGTGACAAAATTCAAGCTCCTGTGACATTGCGTAGTTTTGTTGATGACTGTGTCTATTGAACTAATCAATTTAAGAAAGAGAAATATATTTTGAATGATGACCAAATAAAATTTAGGTTAATTTGACAATTTAATACAGTATTTACTCAAGTACCACACGTCCTCAAGTATGACGCCCAACCCGATTTTTTCAAGATAAATTTTTACAAAATTGTATCACTGCGTAGGGACCGTAGGACCCAGACTCCAGACGTTTTTGCTGAAAATCAAGAATTACGCAATTCCAATTTAGGATCCAACTTTCCTCATTGATATTTCGTCTTTCCTGTTTTTTACTCTTTCCAGGGGCAGTTAAAATGCGCTTGCAATACTGTATACGGTATCTTCCTCAATTAGATGAATATTTCCACCTTGATTTGAATCCTGTTGCATCTCCAACTGATTACAGTATTTCAAAATTGTTAATGCTTGAACAATTATTTCCTGTGGACAAGGATACTTGGCAACACACAATTTCTCTCAATTTTTTTTCCTCAGATGTGTTTTCATGTTTCAAGAGCACTGCTTTTGGGGATGCTTCCTTTAAAAATGTATCCTCGAATACAAGGTGCACGTGATAATCAAGTAAATGCGGATACTCAGTAAAAGATTGAACTTTCAGAAAGCAGGACTCTTTGCCAAAGCCAAGGAAAAGTATGACTTCCTGAACGACATCGCAAATTACCGACCTTGTTATATTCTGCTCGTAGTTTTGCAGATGACAGTGTCTACTGACCAAATTAATTTTGGAGACCGCTATTCATTATGAACGATAACTGAATGAAATTCAGTTTGATTAAAAATTTAATAGATGAGTCGCGTTCTCACTGCTCAAGCGTCGTTACAATTTTATATCCCACCTTACGGAAACTCACGATGCTTTTACCATCTCACTTGGTACCCTTGCAAAAATAATTAGTCGTTCAAAAGATTGAACGTTCGATCTTCACAACAATCTACAAGTGACCAGAAGTTCACCTTGATGGAGGCCAGGTGTGACATGCCCATTGCAATGCCAACGGCAACCTCCAACAAATGAGTTGCTCCAGCAGAAGAAACCGGCAAAGATTTGTCTTTTTGACCAGATATGCGCTCCGCATTTCTTGAATCGAGGAGATACTGCTTCAGCGACGTGGGGAAATATTCCACGACAACGTAAATGTTTTCTGAAAGACACACAAAAATAATTATAAATGCGTCAAAATAACCTCATACTTTTTTTCTTTTCCACCTATTCCTTCGCAAAGTCCGATCAAATGCACGAGATTCATGTGAGAACCCATTCTGATGCTCAATTCCAAATCTTGCAACATCGACCGCTTCTGGGCTTCGCTCATTTTCGCATCTGAAGAAGGGGGCATTTTTCATTAATGAGAATTTTTCCTCGTAGAAAAAAAGCAAAACAAAACAAAGTATACCTTCAAATGAATGAACAGCGGCCCCAACTGCGGTGCCCTTTTTCGTGACGGAACCCTGTTTGATCAGGCCAAACTTCCCCTTTCCAAGTACCTCAGGATGTATTTGCAAAGATATTTCCGGGATATTCCAAACCTTTCGTTTTAAACGCTCGTACTTGTCCACTCCTCTGAGTCCGGTTCCATCAGGAGATTCCAAACTCTCTTCCTCAACCAGGAATACGCTCGAAACATACGCTGCATCCATTGGTTCTCGCTAAAAGTTAAATATTTGAAACGCTCTTAGAACACCACGTTAATGCGAATGTAAGCAGCACTAAATTCTGGTACGAAAAAAAAAAAATTGCCACCAAGAATCAACAAACCCAGAATCAACAAACAATTTCTCACATCCAAAGCGGTGGCCGCATTTTGGATCTACCACTGACAGTCGAGAAAACACCTACAATTTTCATCAAATCTTTTCAAGACATTGCCATTTTACGATTCCAATCGACGATTTGTTTCTCGAGGTTTTCCAGAACCTCTTCAATAACATTATCTGCGACAATTAGGGGAGGACTCTCTCTGCAACGTTACAACGGAATACTACAACGGAAACGAAAAAATTAGTCTCCATTAAGCGAAATTCAAGGAAACAGAAAACTCGTCTCTTCACAAAGAAATTTAAGGGAACAGAAAATGATCGTTTTAAAGAGATTTTCGTCGTAGAGAACCCCTAAAGCATGGGTAGAGAAGCTTATCCTCATAAAGAGAAAATCGTTATAGAGAAGATCGTCATAGAGAGTCCACCTGTATTTAGAGGACCACAGAGTCGATACGTCTCCAAGCCTGAACTGAATTTCGCAATATTCAAACAAAAATTGGGGCACCAGAATATACTGTACCCAACAAAAAACGGAAAACACAAGACTTCAGAATGAATTTAGACTCACACTGGTGACCAGATGAGAAGCAGAAACCGTGAGCTCTTGCTGATCAAACCGACGCGTGGGTTGCTTCATGTTGCTTCCGCGCCGACGACGCCGTCTCCGACTAACTCTTCTTCGCATCAACCCATAGATAACAACAGAGGCACACAACATGGTCCCGAAGACGGCAATGGCAACGCCCAAGGCAATTGTCACGGGCGTCCAATTCCCACTAACTACATAATGCATGATGATCATCGTTAGAATCAGAGGGGAAAAAACTATCAAGTATACCGGTCTAGTATTTCTACGAAGTTTAGTCCGCAGGAATCAGCAAACTTGAATAAATTGACTAGTTCCAGAAGATTAACACATTCATCAATGGTAACGAAGTTTCAACAGCAAAAATAAACTCGGTTATTCCCACAAGTACAGTGTCAGGAAAAAAAATCTCGAAAAAAAAACTTCTGGCACTGAATGATGAAATTCTGTTACGACGCGATCCGAGGGTTGTCCCACTTTGACGCAACTTTGCTTATTTCTAGAGTATATCTGGCTTTTTTGTATACAGCCCATGAAGTTTTACGGTTTCTTGGATTCTTTCCGGATTTTCAAAACCATTTTTCAACTCACTGTATGATAAGTGAAAATTTTCCAGTTAGGGCCAAGTGGAAATTGAAATTTCTTTGTTTCTTTAACCACAATCTAAAATTTAGAAAGTGCAATGATTCAAACAACAAAATTTCACTTTTTTTAGCTGGCCTGAAAAAATGTCGGCACCCTCTGACTTGGGTAGAGAACTCTGACCGTTGTACCTAAGTAGGACAACCCTTATATACTTAGTGCATTGTCTATAAAGGTTTGTCTTACATTTTCAAAATGTTGAAAAGGCTTTACAATCATAATTTATTTAAATTTCAACACCACAAAGCACAATAGAGTGCTTCAAAGCTTTTCCTTACATAACTGTGAATAGTATGAATGAACCTTTGCAGTGCATATGACAGAATTATTTTTCTGCAGCAGTACAGTAGATGCACTTGTGATTGTCAATTACATACTAAACAAGTGTTCCCCAACCATCTTGGGCCTGCGGACTGGTAAATTTTCATAAAAATGTTAGCAGACCAGAAAGATCCCAAAATATTTTCTGCAGAATGGCAAAGGTTCAACAACAAAATTGCAAACTCTAAAAAGTTTCATTTGAAAGACTTTATTGCAGGTGTTCAAAATTTGTCTGCACTTCTTTCAAAAATGTCAAGTCAAGTACCAAAGAAGCAGCTCTAGTGGAACGTCTTCAAGAATTAGAAAGGTGGGCTTGAAGAGAGGTTTCTCAGAAAGAAAAATTGAAATTATTTATTTCAGCAGGTGAACATTTGTCTGAAGCGTTATTAGGAGAAAAGCCAATTTGTATCTTTCATCAGATAATTTCAACTGCCACTGTCTTTCCAAAATTTCAGATAAAGATAACAGACAAATTGCTACTTCGATGAATTTATTATTCTGCAGAAAATATCCCCGCGGACTGGCAAAAAAATTCTGCAACCGGCGCTGGTCTGCGGACCACGGGTTGGGAAACAATGCACTAGACCAGCATTCCTTCATCTCCTCGATACTCACTGAAACCCAATCCCCCGGAATCTTCTTCGTGATCATCGTGATCATGCTCATGCACATGATCACCATGAGTGTGCTGATGCCCGTCATGGAAACCTTCGTGCTGCTCGTGTCCCGGTCTTCCATAAGACGCTCTCGTTTCCCCGTTCAAAGTGGACAACGCTCCGAGGATCACATGGAAGTCTCGTCCATCTGGCAAACCCTTGTTCCAATATTTCCCGTACCGTCGGTTATCGCCGACAGTGAAACTTTCCGGCAGGTACTTTGGAGAATAGAACGAAATTTCGAATCAGAACAGCCTGAACAGGTGCTCTTTCAACATGAATGACGCGTGTTCTTATTGAGAACGAAGTTTAGAAACTCAGAAGTTGAAAAAAAATCGGAACTATTCATCATAACTCCACTGCTTCATTTTCGAAAATTGGCTATTTTGCAAAGAATAGGTTCCTGAGAGCATAGGTGTCGTAAAATAATTTTGCATCCACCAGGAGCAGATTTTCTGAACAAAAACGTCCACGGGCCACCCAAATTGAAGGAACCAGAAAGCTTTGTAGTATTGTTTTTTGCAATCACGTTTGTTCATCGGTATTTTAGGGAGAAACGGAAAATCTAGAACAACTTTTGAATTGAGAATTTGGGCTTAAATTTGTCATAAAATGCAAAAAAAATCAGGTTTTTTCCGCGAAATTAATTCCTCTTATTTTGCGGTGCAATTCCGTTTGAAATGACAGTTTTAATCACTAAAACTTTATGAAAGTTTATACTTCATATTTCATTCAGATTTGTTTTTTTTTCATTTTTGACTGCAAAAAACCGTTGGTTCCAATTTTTGACAGAAATCCGGAAAACACCAAAACATTTTTCAAGTGCCGCGTTCTTTGTTCCTTTGAAATCACCTCAGTTAAAACTAAAGAAGGCTGCATATAAAAATCATACGTAGAGAAGGTGTCATATAAAAAAGAACAAGAATCGATTATCAGTATTCTGCACTTTATCTGTTGTGAGAGTCACTGAAGGAGAACAATACTGTATTTTTGTTGCATCAATCAACGTTAGTTCATTTTTCTTTGAATGAAGTTCTTTTTTAGAGCACAGTACTTCGAACGTCCAGTCAGAAAAGTTCAATGAGATCTAAATTGTCCTTGAACACCAAGAATGAAATATTCCGTGGAGGAGGCAGGTCAGGTGGTTGGCGGAAGTTCGCAGAAATTGGTTTTCTGGAACACGGTTTCGTGTAAATACATAAAATATCGCTTCTTACCAAAAAATGTTTACTACTGCACGCTCATTCGTAGCCAAAAGCCCCAAAACACTTCTTTTTTCTTTGTGATGCTAGGTTACGATACAATGTTACCGTAAACCAAAAATAAAATCCGAGGTTCTAAAAAAGACGCGAATAATTTCTCACCACTCCGGCGATTTCAGCAGCAATATAATAAGGAGTTCCTTCACTTTCTGCAGTATCGAAGTCAGTCAGCAGCTCGGGTTTGAATAAAACAGGCGAACTCTCATCAATCACCACAACTTGATAGACAGATATCGGGCCTCCAGTCGGTTCCACCGGTTTGAGTTCAACCGTCATTTTCCCATTCGATTTCGCCACAAGCTTCGGAAAAGGAGGAGTCGGTGGCACTGAAGAGAATGAAAGCGAAATGAGTTTACAAGTTAGAGGTACAGTACAAGTACTACAGCGTACTTGTGATTTTCCCTCGAAATATTATTTCCGGGACTCAATCAAACACAAGAAACATAGACAGGAGTTAAACTCAAACGCTTGCTTTCCTATCATAATGGCAATTCAGAACATATTTTTCAGCTTTTTCTTTACTTTGAAGTTCGCAGAATTAACTTTTCTAAAATAAAAGTACTCACACATACCGTACTGACTCGAGCACAACGCACACATTTTTTCTCATTGTTCGACATTGTCGACACGGAAAAAAAGGGCGCGTCATAGGAGAGTATACATTTTTTTTTATAGAAGTTCAGGAGTTCATTAAAATCAATTCTAGTGAGAAATTTTAGATCAATTTTTCAAAAGGGTTATTTTTATGCGAACAATTTAAAAAGTGTCAATTTCAGGATCAATTCATGCCTAAATTCAAATTGGGGTGTACTTATGTTCAAAATATTGCAGTTTTAGAGTCACTAAAAATGCGGAACTCGTCTTATCCGGGGATAAATTTAATCACATTTTTTCGACTGAAAAATCTGGGTGCGCGTCTAACTCAACGGCGCGTGTGGTACTAGAGTAAATACTTTACGGGTAATAAATATTCGTTCATGAAGAAAAACATCCAAGTTGCGCTTGCCTCCAACACGGCTCCAGACATTCGCATAAACTGCAGGACCCATCCCGGATTCGTTCTCCGCCACAACGGAAACATTGTATTCAACACCGGGTGCGATTCCCGTCATGTCCGCGTCCGTTGATCCGGCATCAACATCCCAAGACCTGGGTCTAAAACTCCGCGTAGCAGAGCCATACGCAGTCACGACGTTCAATACTTCGATCTTGTAACTTTTCAAACGTCCATTCAGAATCTCCGGGGCTTTCCACGTCAAATGCAACGTGTCATCACGATCGAGGATTTTCGTCCTCTTCGCCGCGATCTCCGACACCGGACCTGGAGCTACAACCAGGAAAAATATCCAGGAAATGGAACTCGACTTGTGAGAAAGTTTGAATTCGAGTAACTTTTAAAAATAGACGAATATTTCATAATACTGAACACGGAAAACAACGATATAAGAAGTGTTCAGAATTTACTTGATTTCGCATCATTAAGTGATCTCAAGCAGTTTGAAACCCCAAGGCATACAACTCTGCGAATTAGAATCGGGAACGAATTCAATGATTTTCAGCAATTTACTGTAGTATACATCAGAGATTCGCGACATGGCGACGGTTGCAGAAGTTTTTTGCCAGTCCGCGGGGAAATTTTCAGCAGCAAAATAAATTTCTCTAAAGTAGCAGTGAAGTCTGTTATCTTTGTCTGAAATTTTGGCAAGACAATCGCAGTTGAAATTATCTGAGGAAAAGTAAAAATAGGCTTTTACCTTAACACTTCAGAAAAAAATTTTAATCAGGTGAAATAAATTATTTCAAGAAATGATTTTGATAAACCTTTCTTGAAACCCAGCTTTCTAAATTTTGAAAATATTCCCCAGTAGTTGCTTCACTAGTTCTTAAAATAATTTTCTATAAATAGGTTTTGATTCGTGGACTTCATTCCAGGTAACCGTAAAATATTTTTAAAATGTCTGCTGTCCACAAAAAAATGCATGAAAACTTGCTGGTCAGAGGGCCCAGAGGTTTGTGTTAAACCATTTTTTAAATTAAAATGTCTACGCACTGCAACGAAATTGATGATTCGCGGAAAACGAAAAATCAACAGAACAAAATATTGCACAAAATGATGAAAATTAAGACATCAGATTTTTCACAAACTGTGAACGTAAATTTAAAATGAAAATAGATAAAATGGAATCTCACCATTATGACCCGTGAAGTAAACAGAAATGGCTGACAATCCACCACAAATTTGCCGCTCATTGCCTTGACATAAAACGTCACATTTCGCGGGACCATATTGACCAAAAATTGATCCACACATGCAGTCTCCGTTTTGTAAACCAGCCACTCTGAAGAACCGAGGTACTTCTCTACACAAACACGCTTTCAAACAGAATTATCTTTCGCTTACTTGTAGTACAGGTCTCGACAATAATCGACGCACGATTCTATCCGAGTCCCCAGATCAGGATTCATTGCCTTGAAGGGCAGATCAGGTTCAAGTCCATTATTGGAAAGAAAACAACCCGCTGATGTCGAGTATTTCTCATTATTCGATCCAACAGCAGCTGAAAAACATTGCATTGATTTCAGGATCTCTCAGACATGAAATATCATCGAATGGCTTCTCACCTGGAAAGGTAACAATGGATGCAACAAGGATTTTGAAGAATAACGAATCCATGACAACAAATCCAAGATTGTTACTTATTCGGTGAACAGGGGTACCACCAAACTAATCAATAAGCTCTTCACCATAATCACCACTTCGGGACAAACAAAGAAAAGAAAAACACATGAAACAAAACTCGCCCCTGCGGAAAAAAAGAAAAAATGTCAACAATCTTATTTCAAGACATCCCGGCAAAAAATGCTCGTCGTTTGAACTACAAACGGAAAAACCGATCCAACATAGATTTCAAGAGGCAAAATTCCTGGCGTAGAATGCAAATTATTCAATTTCACAGGAGGCGCCAACTGCTTCCAAGGCTGCCTTCAAACTTTCCGCTTCGTCTTTCGTAATATCCGCTTTCACGACCTGCGGCGCCCCTTCGACAAACTTCTTTGCCTGGAATAGCATTTTCAGTTTTCACACATGATTTGAAAAATCAACTTTCTTTTAGTTTTTCTCAAAAAATGACCTTTTCAAAAAATAAGCACTGTTCGATTGTAGACACCTAAAAAAATAAAAAGCCCTACTCAAAAATGATATCGTTATTGACTGATTGTCATTCGGATTTTTATTCGACTGGGGAGCAATTTAAATTCAACCTTTGTTTTCTACGTAAACGATAGCTTCCGCTTCTCCACATGATTCATCGGATTTCGTGATTGGAAACTGACACCAAATTTCACCAGTTATGCCAGAAAATTAAACAAAAAGCAATTAATCGAGAAAACATGTATTGGATATTTTTCTCATTTTTGGAAAATACACGATTGTACTAGAAGAACTTCGGGAGATCAGAAAACGCAACGACGAGCGCAGAATCAAAAATCAGCGTATGCATTGTGGTTCGAGAAAAACGTTCACCAGAATATACTAGAACCTCACCTGAACCAGGTTCATGCCTTCCATTTGATTCTTCATTTCCTTGATCAGTGCCACCTTCTTCGATTCATCGAATTTTGTCAATTTCAACGTGAACATTGTTTGCACCTTCTGAGGCTCTACTTCTTCCTCCTCCTGAAACAATATTTTGCGATCACAACGAGATAGTCGAAATTTCCATCTTCGCGTTCCAGTGTTGAAAATTCTGACTTTGAAATGAAAATTGATCTACAACACGACTTTTCTGGATTTTCACCCACATTCCAGCAATGATAGGAATTTGAAAAACACTATGCTGTAGAAAAGGGCTTCCCAGATGTAACCGAACAGCGAAAAATACTTAGTGGCGATTCACACCACAGAAGTAATGCAAGTACAGTAGATAAAAATCGGCGGTACATTCGTCGAGAACGTCTCAAAAAATTTATTGGAGCAATGACGAGGGGCAAAAATAAATCAGCTCGTCATTCTTTCCGCACAATAATTATTTTCAGCACCACGCTGTACAGTTCAGTTGAAGGATAAAAACGTACAAACAATTTCTAAACGTCTACTTCCCCAGTTTCTCATTAAAAGAAGCACAAAAAGCAGTCAAAGACCAATTAAACTTCCTGGCTTTCGACAGAGGTCACCCCAAATTCCGGAGTTACCCTCTCTAAAATAAGACGGGGCATAAAATTACAGGTGCTCATAGGAACTGAAAGTGCTTACCTGAGGAGCTCCGACCCCAGGACCAGCCGCAACAAAACCACCCATCAAGGGAACATCCGGGATGTTCAATCGCTTCTTCAACAACGAATTCAACTCAGACACTTCAACCAGAGACAGGCCGACTATTTGATCAGCTAAGCGAGAGATCTTCTCCGGATAAATAACTTCTGCGCCGTCTGCGGCAGGCTCGGGGATCGGTTGAAGATTCGGCTGGGCACTGGAATTTATACACATGGAGCCACCATTAGAAAATAAAATATATTTTTCAAACTACGAACGTACCTGTAAGCATAACACTGACACGCGGCAAATTCCCTCTGTTTCACGAAATTTCTGAACGATCGTCCATTCAGCAAGACGCGACGAATTGAAAACATTTTGTTTACAGTACGAACTAAACCTGCGAATAGCGGGATTTTGTAGGTTTCAGGAATTTCGAGTTTATCGCTTCGTAAAAAAGGGAACATTTTCCAGGACTGCAGACCAGAGCGCGTTCAAAACGGCGCGTGCTCAAAAGAGCACGAGAACAGCAACAATACGAAATAAGACTCTTGCCATCAAATAAAAATGATATCAATCACGAAACAGGATTAGTGCAAAAAAATGACTCGGTTTCTGTGAGGTTAGCTCGGTGATGCTGCAAACAATGTATGTTCCTTTCGAAGTGAAATTATCAAAGGAATTAAATTCGCAGAATACTTCAATCACCGATCGATGATCCGCTTCTGCTATTGCTTCGAGCTTGCATTTTTATTTATTTACACTGCTGAAGTTATCACTTCGCTGAACACGCGCTGTTTTGGCGTGGCACTTCACTGGTTCGGCAGCCTGGTTTTCAGATAACAAATTTAAGCGAGTATTGCGTCCGCACTCTTTTAAATATGGTCATTCATCATGGATACCTGGCACATATCCAGCGGAGATCGAGTAACGGAATGACTGGCAAGACAAGAAAGATTGCCAAACGCACACAACATAATTAGGTCACATTTACTGAATGATGATCCAAAAGTGATGAAGCTAAATCAAAACACTGCAACCTTTGGTCCTTGTATTCAAAATTATGGTGCAACGTCACGAAAGATACTAGTGCACGTTGTACAGAAAACAATCCCAACTTTTCGATGAATCACAGAGTTCATCACACAGCAAATAGCACAGGCCGGAAAAATCAAAAAACCCTCTTCTGATCCACCCATCAATGAAACCACAAAAGAAATTCATAAATCATCGCAACATAATTCGAAATTCTTCTATATGACGTATGCTGCTAGATAATCTTGCAAAAGCGTTCACTAGGGCAACAATTTCATTTCTCCGCAAACGAAATTTAGGTATTCGTCGAACATCCTGCGTCTTGATGGGAACGATGTCTTCTTCAGGAGTGAATAAAATCTTCAAAGCAGTTCCCAAGCCTTGAATCTGAAGCTTTCCCCAAAGCTTACATTTGTCGCATCCGACACAATCCATGATTCGTGTGATATTTAGGAAGTGTAATCGAAATTCCTCCTTCAGCTTTGTACTACTTTCTCCACTCGAGAACATATATTTCTCATTGAAATGCTCCGGAAAAGAATTCACCATACTCAGCAAATCTTCCACAGCGTGTTGCGTTCTTCCATCTTCTTCCTCATTCCCGGTGTAATACCTGATCGGAAGGATCACCAAAATGAAACTGTAACACTGAATGGCTGCTTTGATTCAACCAGTACATGGGCTAGTTCAAAATAAGACCCAATCTCAAAGGTAATATCGTATCATCAATTCACTGGACACATTTCTTCCATCAGAAGAGTTCGCAACATGGTCTGATCCTGATATGAAAAACTGCTTCGATAGGAACAACGACAAATGCAAACGCGTGATACAATCGGAAGTATTTTTTCGGAATTGTCTTTTCTACCGTTGTAAGACTTTTTATTATTACTTGAACGTTAGTTTTCATTAACTGAATGCGTCTTATTTGAAGATTGAAATTGGAATGGGGGATTTGTTCAGGATAGCATTTTTGCAACAATACGATAAAAACCCTATTCCAAGGTTCAACAAAATAGAACAATGCAATAACAAAATAGAACAATCCAATAACAAAATAGAACAATGCAATAACAAAATAGAATGAGGTCGACAAGACTACGTATTGTCAGCAAGCAACATGTTGGTCAAAAACAGTCTCAGTAATACTCACTGTAACTGTTGCAGGTAAGGTGAAGCTTTCGCTAAAGCCCGCATTTCCAGCAAATAAACAAAATAAAGATTACGGAGTCTCTGAGGCCCAAAGCCGTCTGTGAGCTCTGGATCAAAGCGAATCCTGAATTCCTCAAGATTTGGTCCCCACAGAGAGGTCTGGGTTGCAAATGGCGTGATTTTATCCGACAGAAGAAAACTAAACGAGAAACACGAAAAAATCAGATCTCATAAAAATAAAAATAAATTCACGTGATGAACAATACTCACTTGGCACAGAGATGGATGTTGATACTCGTGTGCAAGCCAGAAACAGCTCGATAGAATGCTCGTTTCTCCAAACACATTCCCTTAAGCGCCTCGAATGGATTGGATACAGGCTGATCAGGCTTGAAGCAATTTTCATCATAAATGCTCCGCCAAATTCGATGAGCTGATGGCCCTCGATAGCCGGTAAATCTTTCAGGATTGATCATGAGGTCAACGAATTCTGCACTATCCTCGCTTTGATCACCAACGTCACAGTACGTCAGAGATTCTTCGTCAAACGCACTCCACGTGTCGAGATTTGTTTTAGTGGCTGAGCTCAACGTCTTATCAAGATATCCCAGGTCATCGTCGCAATCTGTCACACCCTGACTTGATTCTAAATATTTGGCAGCCGGATCAGAACGTAATCCAGCCGGAATTTTGTCGTGAGAGCAAGCCAAGACGTGGCAATCCTTTATTGAGCATTTGGAGTCATCAGCCCAGAAAGGACATTCTCTCTTCATATTGGCCTTGTAATACCTAAAATAATCAGTGTGTGTCAGGCTTTTCATCCGCGGGTATATGTTGATGTTGTTGAAATAATCAACCGTATCCACAGAGCAAGTGCAGTCGTCAATTTTTCCCCGCAGTTGACAAAAGCAATTCCCAGGAGAAGTTTCGACAAGTATTGGATCTGAACTTTGCTGACCCGACGACACAACGAGCAAGCACCAAAATAATACGACCGCCTTCGACATGACTCGAAATGGGCATCAGCTTCCCCTGCCTGACAATTAAGTGAGCCACTTGATCAAAAGAATAAATACACGAAACAATTCACTTCGAATGATCGCCAAAAAAACCAACAATCGAAATAAATTTCCAGGGCGTATGTATGCAACTCCGCCAGTACCACGAAGAAATACTTCACAACTTCATAAACACTTCACCGAAATCGTTTTCTCGCGGGTATATATACGAGTACAGATCGTCTCTGATGTAAGCTCGAGTCATGGTGATGCCCCGATGACTTCTTCCTTATTCTTCCCATCACCGCTACTTCGAAGCCGTATTTGTCCGGCCTCAGGTGTACCGGTTCGATATCGGTGGGGTTTCTTGAACATATGCGTGTTATGCCACGTCATTGCCTAGATGTTGCTATTCAGAAAAGTACAATGCAGTCTGCCTTAGCCTTACGCATCTGCCTTGAAGTTGAACTCGAGCAATTTCACGTTAGTCCTTGGTCAGTAATTTATCAGCAATTAGCATACCTTACTGGAAAAATGTATGCGCTTATTACGCGTGCACCTACAATAAAAAAGTAAATGGACAAACTGGACTGTTGTGGATATACAGTACTATCAGCATATATATATATATATACTGTATATGGATGGATGTGAAACAGCATTATGCAGGGGCATCTGGAGGGCCAGCTATCAGATTTTCAGTGTCAGGAGAAAAAATTGGGAGCATTGTGGTTCAAGAAATGAAATCATGGAGTATTACATCATATATAATGTAATGTTCATACTTGATTTTTAATTACACACACATCTATGTATACGCGTCTTTATATAGTTAAAAGTTTTTTTTTTGCCAGGAAGAAGTCATTTTTCAATGTGTTAAGATACTTCGCAATCCATGCCAAATTCTATCGCATAAAATGAAAGGTATCTTATATACAGTAATTAAGTACCTACTGCAGTATTCAGCTTCAGGATTGCCCTGCTCACCTTTTGCACAATGAGTCACCTTGCTGGACAATCCCTGCATGTGTATTCCGCATATGATGCAATTATAGCAACTTTCAAAGTCTTTAATTAGTTGCTCTTGGACAATGTGAGTTTGAAGTCAAGTACGGATCACACTTCAAATACTGTATATAGCAAAATTAAATTTATACACAATTTATGCTTCATCCCTGTACTGCATTGAGTTAGCACCACCTATGGGCAGTATGCTTTAATATGGCCATTTCCCAATTAAAGATTGTAACTGAATGGGAAGATTTTGCAGTGGCTTGTCCATCCATGCGCTTTTCAAGTACAAATTCATTCAACAGCTGTGGTAATAATTTGATTATACCTCCTCTTTATAATTTTAAAATGCCTATTTTCATTCCAAATTGGTTTATTTTGGTAATACAAGATTTAGATCTTTTGTTTTTTGAAGAGGGAGGTTCCAGCTCATCTCATGCTGATGGGGATTATTTAAGGAATATTGATTGTCTTCTATAAAGAGGTTGAGAATTTTTGGCATTAATATGGATCAGTTTGTGCTTCTTGTCTCTCAATCATGTAGTTCCATCCAATAGATTATTAGGAATCTTCTGTATGAATTATATATGTTCACACTTTTCAGCAATTAAGAAAAAGAATTCCTGGTAATGTACACACGTTTTCTCGATTTGTGAAGTTATCTTTCGATTCTTTTGCATACATTCAATCAAGAACATTCGCATCACAATCCCTTGAAAATTAGTTACCATTGGAATCAAATGAGTTACGGCCTCTATGTTTGTGGAGATGTGACACAAATCATGCAGTTTAACCAATTTTTTTAAAGGATCAAACGTTCTTTATTTCTTAATGTTTAACTTTTTACAATGGAATAGGGAGAATGTTGAAGTTCTCACAGGTGAACAACCTTAACATTCATTTTAATTGTACTGTAGTCGATGGCTGACTGGCAAAAGTTTTGCTTGTTCTCATTTTGTCAGCAGACGTCATGAACGTTTCTCCGGCAATGTCACGCAGATTTTCACCAAAATAAAATGAAAATTAACTACAGAACAGTACAACCTCGCATAAAAAATTGGAGACATATCAGATGCCATAGTTGACATTTCATTCTTCCCAAGCAACAGCAGTCTTTTCTCATTTCAATCACCGGTCAGGTGGTTTTCATCATATATCAATAGACAAAAAGCCTTGCTTGGATTCCCCACAGCCCCCGTACCAGACCGGTCACGCGTCAAAATCTCACATTTAATACTTGACTCGATTACCTCAATTTCAACTTGAGTACGCCAAACTAAAAGCTATAGAAATCCCGTGGGCACCTACAACCACAAAAAGCAGCACGGGAATATTCAATTACACGTTCCTGACGTGGATGAACTGGAATGCGTGTCACGCCCTATACAACGACAGTATTCCATCACGTCGGCGTGAGCATTTAACATCCGCGATCAATCTCGAAATCAATAGATTAATTTGGAACAATTTCAACAAAAAAGCATCCTTAGCGCCACAAAAACAGCATTTTCAAACCTTCAAACTTCGAAACCCAAAACGCCGAGAGAAGGGATTACCGCGTGCAACGAAATTCAAGGTTCTCAGAACCATCACGGCGTGAGCATTCAACTTTCGTGATCAACCTCCAACTCAATAAATTAATTTGAAAAAACTTCAACAAAGAATAAGCTTCCCTAGCGCAAAAAAAAAACAGCACTCAAACCTTCAAACTTTGAAACCCAAATGCCGAAAAAAAGGGATTAACGTGCTACAAAATTCAATATTCTCAGAACCCCGCCTGTTTCATAACAGGTTAGACGAAGAGCAATAATTTGAACACGGATGGAAACAACCACGACACAAAAAAAAAAGTAGCTGCCCTAATGTACTGCAGTACAGTATAGCCTCGTTTGCCCTACATAGTGATTACCACGTAATCTTGGATTATAATTAAGTCCACACTTCACTTCAGGAAATGTTTCGCTTGGAAGAAACAAGCTTCCTTCCGGCGAAAATCTCTCGTCGAACCATTTCCAAGATACATGAAGTACTTGATTATACTGCAATAAACAGCAGAGTTAAGGGAAAATACAGTTGGACCTCAATAACTCGAACCTCCCCAAGTGAAAAAAACCCTCCAATTTCGGTGTTTTTTTTTTACCCGTCTGAGATCTTACAAGAAAAATGCATTATAAACCTCTTCAACTCAAATGCATCGAGTTTCAAGAGGCATTTTTAGTATTATTATCGGTTACTTCGGAAATGAATAAAAAGTTACTCGGAGCTTTAAAAAAACTATGAAAAAGTGGCGATTAGTCGGGAAAATGAACCCTTACCTAGAGGTTCAGCATCCTGTCAACTGATGCAAGAAGCAGGTTAAGGCCCAAAAGATCACTAATTTACAATTTCTTGCTATTCTTTACTTTCACATCCAGCAAAATATGGCGGTTTCCCGAACCTTCCGAAGTTGAATTTTTTTTCGCTGGTCCCTTGAAGTTCGACTTGAAGACGTTCAACTGCATTACTCGTAAATCCGGGGAAACAGTAGTCTTCGTCGTGCCAAGAACTCACGCGGAGATAAATAAATAAATTACATGGCTTATACAGTACTTATATCTTTCGACATCAATCTCAAATCCTTTTTGGAGCCATAATTTCAAGCATAGTGTAATTTCCAGCATTGTAAGACACGCGGTTCGACATGAAGAGGTTCAACTGTATTATTACTCAAACTCATCAGAATCCCGGGGAGAAAATGTTGTTCGTTCGACCAGCAACGCCCACGTGCTGTGTATAGAATTCACGCGGAGATCAACGAATAGATTACGTGGCTTTCACTTACATCCTTCGACATCTGTCCCAAATTCATATTGGAACTTCGGAGTTTATACTTATTTCAAGCGTAGTATAATTTCAAGCATTGCAAGATGACACGGTTCAACGAACGCACGCGGGAAGATCGAGTGTAAACGCGTGATCAGCCTCTTCCAAACGGATCCATTGAGTACAACCAGGACTGAATACACGCTGCATTTTTTGATACATCAAAAAAATACATATACGAGGGTTCGTTCAAAAGTTTCGAGGCTTTTTAAAATGGGTCCAACAGTTCGAACATTTCCGAAAATTTATTTTTACTCGCATATCCCTATTATTCGGCCAAACTTCAGTGCTTTTCAACATGTTCTCCGCCGCATTTTTCCGTGCGATAAATCAAACAGTCAAAAGTTTCAAAACAATGCCGAAACTCGAGTTCTGTAGGTTGATTAGGCGCACTGTGACTTATTTTGGCTGTTTCCGACAGCGAAGAACGACCTGAGAGGGATTCATTTTGAGGATAGGCACAGATTCATTGCCATCATCAAAGAGGAGCTTGATCAAGTAACGAAACTCGATTTTTTAGCACAATTCCGATTGTTGGATTTATCGCATGAAAATTTATTGAATTCGGAGGAGGGTATGTTGAACGTCATTGAAGTGTTGCCAAATGATGGGGCTATGCGAGTGAAAAAAAATCTTTTAATTATTGAAACTCCATTGGATTTATTTCAAAAAGTCTCAAAACTTATGAACCAACCCCTCGGTATGCACAGGGAAATGTTTTGGCGGGATACGGGACGTGTTGCAGAGTTATTGAACACGTGGCAATAAGATCACAGTGACGTCATAGGATGGGGACGCTGCAGGGGTCCAGACCAGCCACAACGTCGTTGAGCCATCCCTAGGTGTTGTCATCGCGACGGCCCGTCGTAGTGATGAGGCTGTCTTCGGATTCGTCGTGCGCTCCGAAATTTGGCGGCATTCTCGACCCCGACGAGTGGCGCCCTCTTTCGGCTTCAACGTCGTTTGAGCTCCCGCTACTGCTGGTTTCCGTTCCTGCAAAGTGATAATTGAATTAAGTCTCAAGAACTCGCAAGATGAAATTTTTTTGAAGAATGCATTCGCTTCTCAAGGTCCGACGCTTACTTTTTTCAAGTGGTTTCACTTACTGGAATTAAACTTCCTTGATTTGAAAGCTTATTTTTGCGTGGCGAGGTGAAAAAGAGATAAGAAAGCTGGAAATGCATGCACACACATAATTTGAGGTCATGCAAGAGTATATATACAATTACATACATTACACAATGGCTTTTCCAGTACTGCACAAGAATCAATACTTTTAGCATCTTTGAAAAAAAAAGCCAACAATTTCCCTACAATGTTTCAGGGTTTTTATAGCTTAGTTCATGCTCAAATATTATTGAAAAATGTATAGGGATTCCTCCCGATACTTGGTACTCTTCAGTTCAGAAAAAAATTGTTCATGCTCTTACATTCTGGGTGTCAATTGAAGTATTGCAATTACTGTATTTATTTGAGTACCATATTCCAAGTATGATGCACACCTGCATTTTGATAAAATCTTGTCTCCAAGTACAACACACAGCACTCATTTTTCATCAACTGAAAAGCTGCAATATTTAAAAGTAAGATGCCAGAATTTGAAATTGGAAATGAATTGAACCTAAATTTCAATAATTTAAATTTTTTTCCATAAACAATTGTCAAAATTGGTCCAACATTTTCCACTAGAACCAAGTAAATCAAGTATGATGCACATCAAAATTTCTTTTCATTGTTGAAAATTGTATACCCTCCTACAACACGTACCCTTCTTTTCCACTCAATTTTGAGAAAAGAGTGCACACTGTACCATATTAACCCAAATACCACAGACACCTTTTTTCCTGGAAAAAAGAGGCAGAAAGTGGGGCATGCATGTCATGACTGTATGGAATGTTGAAGACAGAAAAATTCATGGAAAAATATCAGTGTGTCAAAAGTTAGTCCCATGAAAAAAATATCAAAAATTATATTTGACACCAATCCTGATTTCATTTGTCATGTTATCTGAATTATTCACAACGTTGTTTTTTAAAAAAAGTTATTCGATAAACACATTTTTATGTTCAAAATTGGAGTTTAGGTTTTATGCAGTTTTTGGGCCAAAAAATCATTTCTTACTTGAGGGCACAAGGTACTTCAGTAAATAAAATGTTCTGCATTCGCAATATGGCTCCATCACATTCTAGTTAGATAACTGCGGAGCCTTCAACAGATCGCAAGGTTGTCTTACCCGATCAGGACTGACAGACACATAATGTTGTCTTGGTAACATCAAATTACGAAAATATATACAGAATAGCATCACTAAACTCACGCACCGACACACAACGGAACATAACTCAGTCCACATTAGTCGTCAAAAGGAATATTAAACGTCAGATAGCGTTTTAAACTACGCCTAAAATCCCATCACCAAAATATATTCACAACCGATGGGAAACATGCCAACAACGCAGGTTTATTCGACGAAACCTCCTGGATTACAACCCTACAACATGCACGTGAGTGGAGCCGACGCTCAACAGACCGGAGTATTTAAAAATCGATCGACGAAAGATTTTGAAAAACGAAAGCTACTGCAGTATCATGCACGAAAAAAAAATCAACTCGCGCAGAGATTGGTGGTCCACACAAAATCCTTCTCAGAACTCAAACGCGAACAATTGGTGGACTGGAGTTCACGCGAACACAACTTTGCGAATATTTAATCGGGTGAAATGATTGTGCGGATCAAGCAATAGACGCTTTTCGCCGGGATTTTGAGGACAAAAAATTTGGCATCACTAATTCAGACTCGCTGCAAGTGACATTTCAGTTCTCAAACCGAAAACAAAAATTCATTCAAAATCAGGATGAAGCGTTTTTATCTCATGCTTTACCAGCAGAAAATCACGTAGTACATTTCAATGCGAAAAGTTCAAGAAAATATCAGCCAAAAAGTTTCGACCATAAATCCTAAATTTTAGGAAGAAAAATTCAACGTAAATGTATCGAATCGAAGACATTCTCAACGGAAGAAAAGACTAGAAGCCATCAGATTTCCTGAAAATATCAAACAAATCTTATCTTGCCGTACTATTTTGGACATTGATACAACCGAATATTTTTTCCATTCAAAAATTTCTCAAGGAAATATTAGGCGATTGAAACAAAACAAAAATTTGACCAGAAATCCAGGATTTTCAACAGAAAACTTCAACACAAATGTCTCGAATTGAAGAAATTTTCAGCGGCAGAAAAAAAGCGAAGCCCTTCAATTTCCCAAAAATATCAAGTAGGTCTTATCTTACCGTAATATTTTGGGCATTGTACAGCCGAAAATTCGTTAAATTCGAAAATTTCAAGAAAAAGTCAGACAATTGACAACAAAAAAATTGGACCATGAATCCTGAACTTTAGGACGGAAAATTCAACGCAAATGTCTCGAATCGAAGAAATTCTCAATGGAAGGAAAGACTCGAAGCCATTCAATTTCCCGAAAATATCAAGCAGGTCTTATCTTGCCGTAATATTTTGGAAATTGATCCAACGGAATATTTTTTTAAATTCGAAGTTATGAAGAAAATATCCGGGGATTGAAACAAACAAATTTGGGCCATATTCTATATTCTGAATTTCTGGAAGAAACATTCAACGAAAATGCCTCGAATCGAAGACATTCTCGTCGGAAGAAAAAGACTCGAGGCCATTCAATTTTTTCCGAAGATATCAGGCAGGTCTTATCTTGCCGTGATATTTTGGTCGTTCATACAACCGAATATTTTTCAAGGAGATTTCAAATGAAATTTTTTGTTTCGCAGCTGTATCAAGTTGTATTTGATGAAATATCGATAAAATTTCATCCGAGCAACTGGTCTCGCGGGGGAGTGTAACAAGACAAGCTAACGCATCCACCCACAAAAATCAACGGTCACGTTACCACTAAGTTTCTTAGCAAAGCAATCAATCACAGGTGCATCGATACCAGAGATCTATGCAGTCGCCATTTCCAGGAAGAATCCCTCCTTCTTCCCTGACTCACCTGCAGCAATGACTCGCTGCACTTGATCTCGGTCGTTCTTGATAAACCAGCCGTTCATCACAAAGAACAGCCCACCGAGCACTTCCACAAAAACGCAGATGAACAAGGCATACTGCAGACTGCGAAAGTCGACGACTGGATTCGTGGATGAAACAGAGGGAAACCCTCCACATGATGTAGCATTCGTAGCAGATTCCACACGTTTTGAAGCAACACTACCGTAGGATTCTTTCACGATCTCCGAAACCTGCACAGGAACACACAAACTTCGAGTTATTCTGGATTTCAAAAACCAGCGATGGTGTTCCTGGAATGCTAATGCATGGGTGCGAAAAAATGCAGATTCATGAAGTGCTGTATTTACTTGAGTACCACGTTCCCTTGAGCAAGACACGGACCTAGATTTCTCAGTCAAAAATTACGTGAAAGTTGTATCACCTAATAAGACGCGCACCTCATTTTTACTTAATCTAAAACTGCAATATTTCAAAGATAGTAACACCCAAATTCGAATTCAAGACATTTATTGAAACCGAATTCAACTAATTCTCAATTGTTTCCACAAAAATAAGTTTTTTTCGAATAAAATTGTTCCATAATTTTTCATTAAAATTATGTATAATGCACATCTAAACTTCTAAAAAACTTTGAAAAATGTGAAATAAACCACCTATGACGCGCATCCCCTTCTTTCCTCTTGAATTTGAGAAAAGAAGTGTGCGTGATACTCAAATAAATAAAGATATTAACATAATACACGTGGAATCTTTCCACAACAAAATTCACAGGATCAGTAATGATTCGTTGTAGATTACCACTTTGATTAAAAAAAATCTTTATACTGTCCAATACAGAAAATCATTGTAGAGAGGGAAGCACGGCTTTATCAAAGAAGTTCCCTTCACTTAATCACTTTCAACATCAATCAGTAATGCACTATTTAATTTTTATTCAAGAGAGGATAACAATGACGAACAGATCATCAGATACAATTCATGTGACTTCGCACAAGAACAGATCCTTCGTTTCTTTTAATACAGTAGGCATGTTCCGACATTGAGTGGGGAAATCGTTTTAAAACGGAATGTCAGAAAATTTTCCGAACACCCAACTCGTCGGATTCTCATGAAAACTGTGATCACCGGTATAAATTCTAAATCAAATTGATATATAGACATTCAGATCAATGAAAAACCGATGCAAAATAATTACGAGTAACGAACTTGAATTAACAACGTCGAGATCAGTCCATATCGAATTCTAGAAAATTAAGAGTCCAATCATCTTGACACAGTAATTACATGAATTATTCCAAGTACCAATCCCCGGATTACGATAAAATTTCTGCGCAACCTACGCTTCAAATTCAGTGTAAGGGCCGATAAAAAAAACGTTAATAATACGGTGATGTGCACTTTTCCGTACGACAGTAATCTATTTTGGAATTTCAGAAACGTTCAACGGCACGTTTCAGCATTCATAATTCAAAAAAATAAGATACTGGCATATTGCAGCACATTTCAACCACATTCGAAGGATTTCTCACCTGCCCAATGAGATAAGGACTCCCTGCATCGCCAAACGCATGAGAAATTAGGATTTGGAAAGCTTCTGCAGTCGATCTCCTTGTAGGAATCACTACATACTGAAACATGTAACCCCGTTTCAAGAATGCAAATTCAACGCAATCAATCAATGAAAGAAATATACTCACCAACAAAATATCCGCTACCACAGACCAGTTGAGATTTAGGAACAATTCCCCAAAAAATATAAGAGCGAAAGTTCCAGGAGTATTATATTCGGCACAAATAGACGCAAAGAAAAGAAAGGGTGCCGACAGCAGCAAGCCAATTGCACAAACCATCGGATCCGTTTTATCCCACTTTGGCCTCAATTTCTGGGCGATGAAGGCGCCGAGGGGTACACCAAGAATTCCCGAGATCATCGTAATCAGACCAAACTTGAAAGCAACACTAGAACAAATTGAACAAGTTGGAAATCATGAAGTTAGAAATCATGATACAAGGATACAATTTTATTAGATAAGCTTACCACATAAAAAGAAATCAATCTCAAAACATCGTGCTTTAGTAAGATATCAGCGGAACGTAATAAAAGTTAATTCAAAATGTACAGTCAAGTTCCGTAAGCCGGCTTATAGTGATACCCTCAAAAATTTTAAATAAATTTCCCGAGGTTGTGTTAGTACATGTACATTACAATTGTACCTAGATAACTCAAACCTCCCTATAAAGAAATTATTTTTCTTCAGTCCCTGCCTGGATTCCCTTGCAAAAAATGCATTAAAAGCTTTTTCTAGCTCACAGGCTTTCTCCCTCAAACATCCACAACTCGAATTTTTGGAGGCCTTTTCGCCTTTATTTTTTATATAAAGAAGAGAAAAGCAATAAAAATGGTATTTGATGCATTATAGGAAAGGAAGTGAAAGACTAATTGGACAAAGAGGCACTTGCCTTCAACTTCAACAGCAGTAAGGCCCAGAATATCACCAATTACAATTTCCTGCAATTCTTGCTGATTACCAATAAAAACTGCTTGTTTCCCTAACTCTACTTTTACTTGCTGGTCTCTCAATTTTCGACCCTAAAGGGTTCAAGCATTAAAAATGTTCTCAATTATCACTGAAACGTATGGCATACGTGCACAATCGCGTGTTACATAATCACTGTAGGTCTCTAGGACATCAGCATCAAAATGAACATTTCTCTGCCGAAACAAGTTTCAATTATGGAAAATTGGGACAAACATTTTCGAAAGACGACTTACTCATTTTCACGGCTAACATCAGTATTTCCTTGAGCTGCCATTCCAAGGGCAACGAATTTAGGGCCCCACCACGCCAGAGCTCCAGCAACAAACGCAACGCAAGTGAAACCGACAGTGGAAAGCATAAAACTTGCGCTGCAGAGATTAATTTTCCGTCAACGTCAGTCACAATTAATCAGATGACTGTTGGCAACCCATAACTTATTTTTTATTTTTTTTGAATGAAATACAGGATCTGAAAACATACTTCTTGCACAAGGCTTTGATGTCTTGTCCCCACGACGTTGTTTGCAGATGTGCACCTTCACTTTCGCCTCTAGGGGGATCATCCATGAAGAAAATTATGAAGATTATCGCCAACATGCCCATAGCCGGAGTAACTCGAAGGCTCCACTGCCAAGCCCCGAACATTTCTCGCATTTTTGAGCCGGTGATATAGCCAAGTCCACTGCCCACCGGGATTGCAAAATAAAACAACGCCAGCATCCTCGATCGCATGTCTTTGACGAACATATCTGAGATTATGGTAGGGGCTATGGTTGAATAGCTTGCCTCGCCAATACCAACCATTGCTCGGAAGAAAATGAACCACCCAAAACCCTGAAAAAAAGAAACCTCTTCAGCATTTCGTTTAGATTATAAAAATGTCAACTGTACATACGGTCATAAATGATCCGATCAACGTTGTTAGACTCCATAAAAAAACTCCCAAAGACATGATGATCTTCCTAGAATGACGATCGCCGAGATACCCGAATAAAGGAGCAAAAATCATGTAGCTCAATATAAATACGGTTTGCAAAAGCCCGCCTTCATCGTTGCCTATGCTGAAGTAACATTGTAAATCCGTCAAAATGCCTGCAAGGAATACAATTGTCAGTAAAGTAATTATGAAAGATTACGATACAAATAAGGTACAGTACTCACCGGCCAATGTGAACCGGTCCATATAATTGATGAGATTGACAAAACACAGAACGGAGACAGTAACAAGTTGACGGCGGGTGAGGGGACGCTCAGCTTCCTCCACCAGAGCAATTTTCGGAGTTGGATCAGAAGTGTCTTCATTTTTCATCAGCCCCACTTGGCTTTCATGAGGCACTGCACTCATCGCGCGGGACTCAGGGGTACCCTAGATGTAGTTCTACTTTCCAGAAAAATACTCCGAATTAATTTCTCCACTCGGAAGTCAATCAAGCCAATACTGTATTGCTCAATGATGTACAACCGAATCAAAAGCACTCGGAAAATAAATTTATAACAGAAAGATCAAGCACTCGATTTCAGATTGCTGGACAAAGCTTCCTCGAGCAATAGAAGTGCTTCTCAAAATAACCCACACACACATTCTCATTCGGCACTATTGAATCAGATCCGCATGTGGCTTTACGAACACAGATCAAACCGGTTAAAACTTCCGCTTCGCATAGTTACACTGACTAGATATATTCGAGCGCTATCCCGATATGCAAGAGACAACACGAAATAACGATAGGTTCATCACGAAACGGTCAAGTTTCACTTACAGTCACGAGGCAGACTCAACCCCTTGGCAAACAAGATCCAACGATTGCAATTCAAATTTCTCCGGACTTCAATTGCGCGCAATACCGGTCTCCACGTGCTCGCCGACGTCTAGCGGCGGACACAGTAATTCTCTACAGGAGAAGCATGAATGAAACTACAGTACGAAGAAGGTAATCAGTGGGGTAGTATGCCCACCGGCAAGACGCTCAAAGGTGCGGAGGGGAACAAAATCGCGGCTAAAGCGCGGGAAAACCTCAGCATGTCGTGGCAGAAGGGAGACACCGCTATGCGTATACGCAGAATCGCATGCCCGTTTTTCAAAACATCATGCCACCAGCACGGACCAATCAGGGATGGAGCGCCTGCAAGTCATGGGAGCTCCAATATACCAGGCAGTCCTGAATTTGGGAAAATTCCACGGAACCCCTTTTTCGCTACAAATTTTCAAGAAACAAAAAATCTTTGAAGAAAATCGTCACCTGACCTAGAATAGGCAATTGAGACAGCAAAATGGCAAGTTCCTGGGAATACGAAGTTACTTTTGCGTGGCAACTTTAGCACTCCACCGTTAAGAACAAAACTTAGCTAACACAAAAGAACGAATCGCCGCGTGATTTTCCAAAGCCTGTTATTGGGCCGCGGGTAGCCGCTTCACTCGTGTTTATTATGTAAGTATTTTTTATGTACAGTATTTTCAGTGAATGTATTAACCATCGATTCGGTACGATGAAAAAAATTGGTCTGTCGCTGCTGTGATTATTAGAAGCTTCAGACTCCGCCAGCATCTGTGCTGGTAATCGCGGAAAAGGCTCGCTGGCACTCAGACTTCCATATAGCGACACCAGCGTTCGCTTCCCTTCCTACGATGTGGCATAAAACATAATTGTCATCTTCCTTATCCGCAGGGGGTCACCTGCTGAACATCCCATACATGACATGCCGATATAATATTATTGTAAGGTTCTATAGTGCCTCTCTGAAGGGTTGCTATGTTGCGAATCCACCATCATTTGCAGTGATTTTCTCAAAAGATGGAAACTCACAAAACTTCTATGCTTACGCATCATAGCAGGAAATGCAGGTAAATTTATACTCCGTAAGGCATAAAGTATTCATATCTCACATGTTATTTCTCAGCGACGATGAGGATCCTTCCCATGGCAGGGGGGCTTTTGACCTAGGGGGGGGGGGGGGGGGGGGGGGGGGGGGGGGGGGCTTTTGGTTGGGTACCGTTTCATTGGAAGTGTTTCCAATGTTTTAGCTCTCAAGTGATTATAAAAGTCCGAGGCTCTTGGTGTCGGGGTGTATGTTTCAATCATGTTTTATTAGGCTTCTTAATTTTCCGCCACACAGCGAACTCCTTATGGCAACATTGGGATTCAATCTGATGCGAACATGTTATACAGTATTGTACTGTTTTAATGGATTGCTGTTGAGCTACTAAGCTGTACATACAATGGTTACCCTTCGAGGATAACGATGAGAAAAGTGATGTTTAATATACAGTACTAATGTCGCTCGGAGAGTTATGAACCGATGTTCGAAATGCAGTATACAGTACTTGATAAAAACATAGCAGCACAAGAATTCTTGAGCACAGTAAATATAATCTGATTGAGTCATTGTTGTTTGATAGTATACATACAGTACTGTACATCGAATGTACCGTATATCGAACTAGATACAAGTTGTATCTAGTTGTCCGCGAGCGCACCAGGACGAGATCCTTAATGCTAATAACAGCGCCGCGAAAATGCCGGGGTTTCTCGAAAACCGGAATGACTGCCGTTTCCTCAGAATTTTCTGAAAATAAATTTTTTTTGCTAACATCTCCCACATTCCCCGAATTTTACTGTAATAAGATTCCAGTACTGTACAGTATACATCTTCTCGCGAAAACGTAGAACTTGGATGAGCATGACTGTATGCATGCTGGGGAGCTCACCATTATGCTCTCACACCATACAAATATACTGAATAATAACTTCTCGGAGCTCAATTCTTCACGCGATGCGTTATAACCTGTAGCGGAACTCGTTCAACAGCTTTTATTTTTGCGACTAAGAATCAGCGACCAGGAACTTGAATGCTGTTTCCGCGTGATTGAAAACGCCGACACCGCGAATTTTACCCAATATTAAATGGACTCCGTTAAATTGTGAAGTTTCGCTTGCCCGTAGATTTTTGGATCCGTTGTAATTCTCGTAATGCAAATATATATTTCCTCTCTTCGGAGGTTGGAAAAGATCGCTATAATGATCTTGTGTCTCTGAAGCAAGCAAAGAATTTTCTATGTTTTTAATCTAGATCGACAGAATGAGAGCGATTTTGGGAGCCATTCCGCTTCACAAAATTCCACGATGGTGTCATCGACATGACACTAGTCACTGTGCGACACAGAAGTTACAAGCAATGAACCAGATTGCCACTTTCTACACGAAAATGTATACCACACGCGTCGGCTTTCTTTGAGTAGCATCAAATTCACCGGTAGATTTCCTAGAATTCATATGTTCTGCAAAGGGGGGAAATCACCACTGCACATAACGCGGGTTCATCCAAGCATGTCAACAGGCATCCACAGAACCAAAAATAACTAAGGAATGATTCCAAACCACCCCGCTCGAATTAAAAGTAGCGCATGTTATATTTCAAAATATTGCCAAGCAGACATCAAGCTCTTGCGTTCGCACACAAATAATCCATTCTTTCCCATTCGCTGATTTGAAAAATTGTATGCAAATGCCGATCATTCTCGCAAAGTTCAGGAACAGCCAAAGACTCATTTTCACAGCTCAGCCTTCAGTTTACATAACATGAGCAAACTACACTTCACATCTCGGTACCAACTCCGTAAATCGCCAAACGCAGAAATTTATTTTTTGCTTGCTTATGTTCGTGAGACCACTGCATTTGCACCATTCAACTACTCATAATTTGTTCGCATAGCATAAACGCGAAGTCATTCGGTGCTCTTTCCGAGAAAAAAATCCCTAAAATTCACAAGCTTCAGGCAAGAGTTATCACGAGAATAGACTCATACGCGAAAATCACATCACTTTTTCCTGTGATACGGAGAAAAAGAAGGAAAACTAATCTTTGCAAAGAAAATATCAAGTTTTTGCTCCTACATCATTATTATTCCGAAATACAGTACGCATTTTCCAGCGGAATGACCTAGTTAAAACCGTGGCTATAAATGCAACTTCTGCGAAACAAGTTACGGATCAACATCGAACCTCTTCACGGTATAAAAAGCAGGTAATGAATCTAGAAAACCATAAGTCCTTTGAACTTAGCTTTTTCCTCTCCACTATCGGAACTGGGGAAATTATTCGTGCGAGAGTCGCATTGCAACTTTTCCAGGCGGTCGTTTGGCTCCAGTTCAACCTTTGGACACCTACAGAGGTGGCACCAATATTCCACTTCTTCGATCCATCTCGCATTTAACGAATGCGTCCATTCCAACGCCACTTCCAATTGTGAAGCATTGGATCAAAATTCCACAGGTCAGGATGGCCAACGTGGGAATCATTGAAGTCTGTCTTCGACCACTGGAATGCCGGCAACGGATTCGCAGTAGGACCAGACACAGCGTAGAATCGCAAATCCGTCACTAGAGCAGAAGAGGTCACTTTCGCGTCTGTTCCACCGTGACAACGATGACCCAAGGCGGAGAAAGGATAATTTCCGTTTCTCGGATTCAAATCATTCCTCGCGGAAATTGCGTTCTCAGCGGAGTACGGCGGGGTACAGTTGCAAGCAGAAAGCGGATCATTCGGGTAGTCATTGTATCTGGAATGAAAATCATGAAGAAATGACATCACTTCACAGAGGGTTCCATCATCACGAACGACCCGTACAACGAAAATGGTGGGCCAAACTTTGGGTTTGGCCCAAACCGCTAAAATGTCATCAGATTTTCAATTGAAACTTTGGAAGTTTCTGAAAATTTGAAGGAAACGAGAACAGAATGGCTTAGTTCTGCTCATCTTAATTTTCAAAATTCATGACATTCAAAAATTCAAGAGCTAACACTTCAGAATTACAGTACTTGAATTTCATACTCATCAATTTAAAAATTACTACTTCACGCTGAAACACAAATTCTAATTTTAAAGGTATCTTGAGGGATTTCTGGAATTACAAGAATTAAATCATTTACGAGGTAATCTTGAGGGTAAACGCGTTTAGAAAATTTTCTACATAACGAAGCGCATCTACGAACTAAAAAGGCATTAGTTTTGTCATGCGGGGACTCAATTTGAAATGGGACGCAGACAACAAATGAAGCCAAATTAAAATTAACTACCGCAATCCACACAGATGGGAAGCACGATCATTTCACCCACCTCATGAGCTTCATCATGGAATCCAAGTCCGTAACCTTTCCTTGATCTCTCTTGAAAATCAGGGCACGCGGCGTTTTGTCATACGAAAACCAATCCCCATACTTTTCCACCAACGCTGGAACACCACTGACGTTGTAAATTTTCGGGAAATATCTGCAAAGAACAAGACGAGCATTAGTGCCATGTTTCAAATCTACGAAAATATACTGCATACTAGAAGATATGCTGTAATGAGCATGGGATGGCGATGTAACAAAGAAAATGAACTATTTCTGTAAGAGATAATTCCATACTTGACAATCTCGCTGTTGGAAGAAATTGCGAGTAAGTATTTAGGATATACAAGGAGTGTACAAGTAAAATTTCACTACAACAATTTTCTCAGTACAACGCGTTTTTTTTTTTTTTTTTCCCACAAGAGGTTCTTTTCAATGGAATTCTTTCTAGAAGATTTTTTTCCGATCCTTCGAATTTTGTCATAGAGAGGCTTCACTTATATTCAAGTTTTTGCGAAGGATCTTACATCGTTAAAAAATAAATAATTTGTATTCCTCTTCAGAAATCGTAGATGGCCGTATTCACCAAATTTCAGCCCAATTTGTATCAATCCAATTTTTTTTTTAAGTAACGATCAATTAAAGACACAGGGTATTAATTTTTGAACATTTTTGCTTTTTCTTTCAAGAAAACGATTTGTTGTTCGGATTCTTTTAAAACAATATGAGAAATTCGTCCTTACAACTGAGCATAATTTGAATGGCAGAATCACGCTGACAATGTCATACTACAGTTAAGAAAATTTTGGAAGATGGCGAATTCAGAAAGTCTCACGGGTTGTTGTACGATGGCCAGTACTCCTGTTCTCGCAGAACTTCCGTCTTGTCCCGAGCTTCGGTTACACCGGGAACTTGTTCCAGAACCCACAACAGATTATCCTTCGGAATAATTCAAACGTACCATTTCAAATACTGTAGTAGACAGGGTGAAAACTATTATATTCTTTTAAATCTCACGAGAAGCAATCCACCGGGTTTGAAAAGCTTGTAGTCCACAATCATCCATTGATTGTTGTACGTGCCGCTGTTGAATCGTCGAAATAACACCGACCAGTGTTTCCCATCTTCTGCCAATCTGTTGGCCACACTGCAACGTATCCACTCCAAAACTTGTCCATTCGCTTTCACGTTTTTCCATAGCGCGGGGTTATCATTCCCAATCGTCGTTTCAATGGTCACCAGGCCCGATGAAATGATTGTGAAATCGTCTCCAGAAAATACCAAACCTGTTTTAATAGCGGGAGTAATCAACGTCGGATGCTTTCGGAGGGTTTTCAGAGAAGCCTTGCGCATTTACCCAAGAAACCCAGTTTCAGTTGGATGAAAAAAGGTTCAGTATTTAGGAAAATACAAGCACCCCTTTAAAATTTTTCATGCAAAATTAAAATGTCATTGATAGGCGAATACAAGCACCCACTTACTTTCCTCGTGTTCTAACATTACAGAAAGATTTCTGACGAAATTGAGGTTTTCCCCGGAAAAAGAAAAATGGTGTTACACAACTGTTGCTCTTCTCCTTCAGTCACTTCACGGATGTATCTTGAAGTGCTAAAAGCTGATCGTTTCTTGATTAGATTCAACTTTAATTCCAAAGGAACTGAAGAAAGTGGTGCTTGATCGTTTCGCGTGCCGCGAACAGGAATATTTCCTGATATGGACGCATATTTACGTAAATTGCATGAACATGCAAATACTGTGCTGCATAAGCACTCCCCAGTTTTTGAGCTTCTAAAAGTGAAAAAAAGGTGCTTATATATCCGCGTAAAATACGGTAGATAAAAATGGTAATTGATAAATGTTTCAAGATGTTGATGTCCAATGGAAAAGTGCGCAGCACTTTCGGTGTACCGAAAATATTTACTGATACGCCTCTCAAATGTGCATTTAAATGAGTGGCAAATCCTTCCAAAACGCTATAAAACAAAATCAGTAATACAATTTAATGCCGAAGACATCTACCCACGATGAAAAACTTCGTGTCGCAATCAGCTAAGATAGGAATACAGTACTCGTCAAATTTACAGGGATTTTTTTCGATTTGAAAACGTTCTGGAAACGCAATTTTGTTTTTGTATTTTGCTTCAGGGTTAGCATTGGTAGTCGTATTTCATGTTTCAACGCATTAAAAACTTCCAGCTGCTTTGATACTGACGGTTAGTGCATAATTTTCTTCTTCCTCCGTTCCGATTCCAGATGTAAAGATGAGAAAGGAGAGGAAGGACCGTGTGTGGATATTTGGGGAGATTATACAGAATTCTTTTATATACGGTACTGTTAGCTCTTTCCAGAAACTTACTTTTGCCGTAAGCAAAAAACAACCAATCACGTTAAAACATTGTGAACTATCATGGGAATTCACGAAAAAAATGAAAACAATAGCAGCAGGACAAAGACTTCTTCCATGAATTTGTACGAGGGACTTCCGCAAAAATGTATTGTTCATCGTTAGAATCCTGAAGAATGCGAACTCTTCTTTTCTCTTAGCGAATATTCCCTATGCTGCTCATTAATAAACTTTCCATGTCCTTCATAGCATGATTGTACCTCGATCATTTACTCGGGATAGATTGATATTCTTCAAATCAATTGACAATAAAAAGGAAAATTTGTCCAGCGTCCAGAAGGCTTGAAATTGAAATTCGTTGGTGACTCACAGGACTTTCGAGAAGCCTCTCTCGCATTCTCAACGCAACATGAAAATCCGTACTCACCTGGGTAGGAAGAGAAGGTCATGGAATGTCCGGGAACAACAGGCGAAGTTGGATCGCTCGTCGATCGGAACGGGAAAACATATTTTTTCAGAATCCTCGTCATGCTGTTGTACGAGTTCCAGGTCACGTGCGCCGCAAGCAAATCCGTCGTCTCGTTCGTTTTAACAAGCTTGATCAATGCGGAACACTTCCCGAGACCCCTCAACTTCTGAGAAAATTTTTCGGGATCCGAACTGAACGAGGAATCCTCGGAAAAAACGGTGGTAAGATCTTCAAGGTCACCGAAGGCATTGAACCACCTGAAACAATGAATGAATCATCATGTCCCCGACACTAGAACGAACTAGTGCATCAACTTTTTGAAGATTTCCGTCGTCAAACTGAAAGCAACAGTTTCGATACAGATTTTTTCCAGAAGTAAAATCGATACATCTCAAAAATCTGACATTTTTGGAACGTCAAAAGGCATGTGCCAACTCACTCTCTATCCCGACCATTCAAATATGATCCAACTTATTCCAGAACAACGTAACCCAGAATTTTTCACCTTTTATGACTCACAGAACCCTTTCTAAACTTTTCGATCATCAACCATTGACCAAAATTGAGCAAGATGATATGAAACCTCACCAAAAATTGGAGAAAGTTAAATTAGGCAAATCAGGATTCTCCTTTTCGGCCTGATTGTATCCCTCAGTCAAGCCATGGAGTTGTTCGATGAGAAGCCCAACTTGGTGCCAGTAGGGATCGTTTTTCGCGTGACGAGATGCGAGGTGTTGAATGAATTGCAAATTTTCCTCGAAGTAAGCCATGATACCATCACAGGTCTTTTCACGTCCATCGCAGAATCCTTTCAGCATGTTGACATAATAGTAACTGATCAATTCTTGGGACAAGTAACCTTCGATCATTCCAGCAGCGAAAGACTGATTCATATCCGGATACTTGGGGTTCGTTTGGACTTCCAGGAATGACCATCTGCGGAATAGAAATTTTGCATTCAATTTTTACTACTTACTCGAAAGACATGGAACATGCTGTGGTTCCAAATTGGCAATGAAAGTTGCTCGACGACTATACTGTACTATAAATGAGGATGAAGAGAGCATTAATGCACTTCGGAAACGGAAAATACAGCACGGAGTACCAACTACAGGAAATTCATTTTCCTGGGTTTTTGACGTAAGGGTTATGTAGGTGAACTCTCTCTCTACACAACGAAATTCAAGGGAACAAATTTTTTTTTGCGGATACCCGCTATAACATGGGGAGAGAAAATGATGGTACCGCAAAAAATGTTATGAACAAGATTGTTGTAGAGAAAGTCCACCTGTGTTCACAAAAGCGTCAGAAATAGGAGTTAAAGTTTAATTGATAGTTTCATTACAGGAGAAACTGGGCATTGATCGCAAATTATACAATTGAACCTTGATAACTCGAACCTGTGTGAGTCAAGCACCTCCCAATGTAAAATGTTTCTGAAGTCCCTGCCTGAAAACAATGAATTGAAAACCTCCTTAACTCAAGGATTTTCCTCCTCAAATCTCCATACATCAAATTTTTTCAGGACTTATGGTTATTATTTAATTAACACAGAAGAGAAAATGTAAATCTGTGCGCTTTGAAAGGAAGTGAAGACAAATTGGGCAAATAAACCCTTGCCTCAAGTTCAGCATCCTGTCAACTCATTTAAGAGGCCCAGAATAATCAACAATTACATTTCCTGTAAATCTCAATGTCTTATTTGATCCCATTAATTTCTCATTTTTCAAACTAAAACACAGATTGAAATCACTTACCCGGTTTCATTCAGCCGCATAGTCCAGTTCCCTTTCGCCACCCAAGTATCATTCGTCCGCTTTTCTCGGATCACGAAGGCATCATTCTCCAAGTACACGTACCCAGTCATATCCGAACTGGATTCCTTCAACGATTTCGAAGGTTTAATTCCCACATTTTTTCGAGGAACCGGGGCGCGTTTATTGCCCGGAAATTCGTCGAAACCCACGACCAGTTTCAACGCAATACACAGCAGCAATAGTTTCAACATCCTGCAAGAAGTCAGCGAAGGGAACAGCGGTAGCTCAAGCAGGATTTCCGGAGTGATTTTGAAATGAATCAATGCGAATCAGTCGACAATTTCTGCAGCACATTGAATATTTTCCTTACATCGATTGAAATAATATGGGACGGAAATAAGAGAAAAGGGAAATGTAGAAAAATAATAGCACCGCGAGGCGAACATAGCTTGGCAATCTGACTCCAAGTTCTGGAGCAATTCACACGTCATGGGCATTTGACATTTTGAAAATCGACCATAAACATGGAACTAAAGCACAACCGGAATCAAGTGCACGAATTCCTCTGGATACCATCGATCTCAAATTCACTGAGCGCTACAGTCGCAGATTGTTTCAGAAGGCGCTTGAGTACCGACAATTCACAAGACACGACAGATCAGGAAAGAAAGTCCTAGCCACCATAGAGTTTAGAAGTTCGTTAACCGTAATTCGTGGGGTAACCGTTGTTTTCTTTCTCAAATGTCCGTTGATAACCTAGAGATGCACGTTCTCAATCCGAATCAGAGTCTGTATCCGATAACTGGAGGTCCTCCGACAATATACTTCCTCCAGCATTGGGAATTGGCACTGTCATGGGTGCCGAGGGAAGCTCCAAATCATCTGCAAAAAAACTCAATTAGAATTTGTTCACGTGCTTTTCAAATCTTTCCATAATTCCTAAATTATTAGAAGCGCTGAACTGAGAGAAAAATAATAAAGTTAAGGCGCATTCAAGAAAACATCTTCCCAGAGAAATATAGAATTGAGCTCGAGAAGATGCTCCAAAAGCAGTAGAGTCCAAATAAATTTGACATAGTTACATTAAGATAAATCAAAATTTTCGAAATCAAATACATTTCTGTAGTATTCGGAATATTGTTTGAGTCCCTTTATGAATTCCAAAGCATTGAACAAAGCATTAAAAGCATCAACAATCATCCTCCACGATTGTTTCCCATGGGATCGAATGGTTTTTCCTTATGAAATATATCTTTCGCTTCTTTTTTTTTCTTTTACATGAATAGAAGCTTTTCAAAAATAAGACAAAAAAGATTAATGTAACATGACAAATATCGCAGGAAACGCTTTCAGAACTGAGGTTCGTTCAGTTCAATTTAGCGAACTTGTGAGAGGTCGCTTATTCATCAGATGTTGTACAAAACGATTATTTTGCACTACTATATACGGTTATTTCTTTCTACTTCAAAATTATGATACGATATAGTACATACCGTACTGAGCATGAAATCGCAAACGGGAAGTTTCATGGGACAAAATTTTAATCTCGTACAACTGGTTATCGGGTGATGATTTACGAACAGGCGCAAATCATGCTTTACAGTTTAAAAATAAATTTCTTGACTTAGGCCTTTTCGGTACTTCTCATCGAACAACTGGATGTAGTGCAGGAAAAGAGCACACCCACCGTCAATCACAGGCATATTGTGTAGCTGGGGAGCACGCGGGGGAGGCCTTTCGTCTTCCTCGTCACTAGAATTGTCACTGCTAGATGAGCTTGAGCTTGATTCAGATGCAGAAGATTCAGACTTCAGGGATGGACTGCGGGCAGGCGCAAGCGGTGAAGCAGCCTTCGGTGGTATTAAACCAAGGCTGTCATCCGAATCTTCGTCTTGACTTTCGAGCATTGGCATGTGATTATGAATACCATTCTTCTTGGCGGAAATATCTGGAGTTGGTGCATTTCTCGTGGGAGTCCCACAACCATTCATAGGAGACAGCTTCTTTTTGTCAAACGGAAAGGGTCCACGGTTGAACTTAGACATGCCGTTCGTTCTAAAGATCACACATCATAGAAAAATCAGCGGCTGGCAATGGGGAAATCTACTCAAGCTCAAACCTAGTCTTTTTCAGTTGAATCTGACTTCCGAGACGTTCTAGCGTTATTTCTCCAGTAGCGTGATCAAAAATAAGGACGCATTCTTTGCCGTGGCATTTTTGTGAACCTTGGAAATTCGTGCTGGCATCTCCTTCTAAAGGCACTGACAAGGACACGTCGTTGCTGTCTCCAACTTCCAGAGTAGCAACTTGATCCATATCCACATTCGCAGGCTTAAAATCACCTGCAATAAATTCATATGCATTCCTCTGCCAAGAAGATACAATCGGAATCCAGCGGCCTTACATCGTATGGAGTGGTACGGAGTTTCTTTCCATTTAAAAGATTCGCCAATTTTTAGAGTACATGTCGTTCCGTTCACTCCCAAATAGTCGGCGAAGGACGTCATTTGGGAGCGGAAAACACAAACGTTGCTGGCAAGCAATGGACGGTAAAACGTACAAAAAGTACAAAAGAGACTATACGGAAGATCGTTCGCCACAACACACTGAAAAGGAAACATCCATCATCAGTTTCTACAATGATGCACTCACTTTTTAGAGGCATAATGACGAATGCTAATTTCGCCGAAGCAAAATGAAAGAACAGTATGATCGACAATATTAATGGGCACATTTCCTTCCAGCCCCAAACTAAATATTCAACGGGAAACGATGTCCACGTCTCATTCCACTCGCACATGAAGGTCCTGAATTCCTCATCCAAATTGAGGCAATCCGAGGAACAATTACGCTGCGTTTTATTCCCAGCCTCAAAGCATAGTCACAGCCACTGAGAGAACGAATGATCATGGAAACACTGAACATGATTAGTTATAAGTATACAAACAAAGATGTCACCGCTTTCTTTCAGCAGCGGCCGCTTTTCAAAGTGCAGCAGCAGTATCCATGGACGATGAGAAACGTAAATTTGACATCTAAAATATTTTACTGTACTTTATGGAATGATGAAGACTACATAATTTTGATACCTGAACAATTTTCATCTTTAATTATTTTTTCTTTCTGTTTTCATGTCTACTACATAGCCGTCTCCATATCAACAGCAGCATCATGTATACTGTAGAATTAGATCACACGTAGTTACATCAAAAGAAAATAATTAACACAGTTCGGCAGTGCACCAGTATTTATGGCACAGCTTACCTGATGAACATGCAGGATGCATTTATTATACTGAATCTAAATTAAGTTCCCAAACATTCTTGATCAAGTAATTTTTTAAAGATGATTTCTATACTTCCGGTAATTTTTCAGCGCTGCATAGGATAGGTATTCACACCGGAAACATGTTCTATAAATAAGTACTGCGGTGTAGCTGCGCAGCATGGTGCAAGAAAAATAATTAAATAAATTTTCCAATAATGCGCGGAAAAATAGAGGAGCTTGCGCTTGATAAGGCTATTGCTGATTACAGTACAGTATTCTGAAAGCCAATCCGAGTTCTGAATCAATGAAGTTAAATGAAAACTTGAGATTGGGCCTCACGCTTTTTCGTATCATATTGATAAAAGTTCTACATAATCAATTAATGTACAGTACAGTATTTTCATTTCATATCTTATGCATTCTTCACAATTCCTAACAAGTTTTGAATAATAAAGGAGAAAATTTCCAAACAAAAGTTCATTTCTTGAACATCAAAATATACCATGTATGACGCAATTAAATTTTAATAGTGGCTATATACACACTATGCATTAACTCTGAAGTTTCAGCATGTATATGCTGAAACCACTCACTGCGTACCTATTCACAGAGAGATTCTTTCTAATTGAAAATTCAATGCAGAATTTAAGACTGGATCACCAAATCAATTTATCCAATGCATCAGGCTAAAACAAGTCAGAAATGTTAGATTTCTGGAGTTTCAATGTTGTCAAACTTCTTGCATATTGAGCTCACTGCTGCCACAAGTTAATAATAAGCTATGTAAGAAGTGAACTTTCTCTATTGCAAAAATGTTTCCTACTTGAAATGTTTCTTCAGTTCCATATAAATTCCACAAATTTTTGTGTAGGAAGTCGTCATCCACCTGTATTAGATAAAAGTGATGAAAGCAACCATGCGGGGGGGCTCCGCTCTTAGCCATCAGAATCGTGCTCTCAGCATTTATTTTCGTCAAGTACGCAGTGTCAAGTAAAAACCATTAATAGCCCGTAATTCTCAGGAGTCATGTACCACGAACCTCGTTTCCCCACCCCTGAAGGCGACACGGAACAAGAATTATCCGACAGGAAATGTATGCACGAACATCTCATCCAGGATGAATACACTCTACACCTGTCTCGCAATCACATGAAAAAAAAGCAGCAGCAATTCACAAACACACACGCGTGAATTCTCTCAATTGTCATGGCATCGGACGAAAGCTTGTTGGGGGGAAATTGAAAAGGCGATTCTTCCGCGTTTCTCGCATATACGGGAGACGAAAGCAGTTAACACTTACAGCGGGGAAAACAACTAAACAAAACGAGGAACAATTGCCTCAGATCCACTGGTTGGAAAGCCTCACAAAAGACCCAATGAGAGCGCAATCCCAACTGACTGATGTCATGGCAGCCACTGCTTCAAAACTCAGAAGATCTCTCGTTGCTTTCACACAAGATTTTTCTCATTTTCTTTTTTTGCGCTTCGAACCTCAAGAAACTTACACGGACAGGTATATTCAAAGGTGTCACCTCTGTAAAACGCGACGGACAGGATTGAACATCGAATGTACAGGATTGCGAAGCACACCGAAGGGTCAGATAAATCTGTCACTCGCATGACGTCGCCAAAACACACGCATATGAAAAATAAATGAATCCCAGGGGTCAGTCAGAAGTACCGTATTCACGCAAATTTCGGACACCGAAGGTTCAAGACATACATTACTTTTTCAGCTCCTCGAACCGAACAAATCCGAAGAAACACTTGCTTCACAAAATGCCAGGGACTTCATTGCACAGGGTGGACCATGCGAACAACACATTTTATTTGAACATATTTTCAACGACAAAATTGCACAGAAAGGTCCACTCTATTTTCTTTGACGCGTACGGTAATTTAAATTCCGAGAAATATTTACGACAAACACGCCACAGGGTGGACCAAAAAAAGCCCTTACACTAATTTTCAACTAATATTTTCTACTCGAATTGCATTCGAATCACCCACTGCAGTTATAACGAAGTTCCGAATTCTCACTTCTAATCGCCTGAAAAATATTCAAAATATCTTCGTTTATTGTAGAAAGGTTTTCAAAAAATGCTCGAGATGTCAATTATTATTACAGAACCACGTTTTCGATAAAGACACAACCCAAATATTCATGAGAAAATCCAAGAAAGATTCACCTTTAATACAGTTGATATTATCCGTTATTCCCGGTTTTTGCGGAAAGTTTTTCAACCAATGCACGAGATCTTTATAGAATCTTATAGAAACATCTTTATAGAAACACGTTTTGGACGAAGACACAAATAAAAACATTTACAAGAACATCCAAGAATGATTTACATTTAATACAGTTGAAATCATCCAAGTTAACCACGGTTATGGTGAAAAGATGTTCTACGAATGCTCGAGCGGTCAATTATTCGTGTGAAACACGTTTTGGACGAAGACATAACCCACAATTTTACAATAAGTTTCAAGAATGATTCACATTTAACGAATTTGAACCTGGAAAACAACGTCACACATTTGCGTAGATACGGTAACCCAAGAATTTACGGATCATCGAACCCTACAGTCCAGCTGGCTTTTTCAATCACGCAGCAAAATCGTTTTCGACGTCGTCACTTCCGAAAAGTTCGACAGCGTAAGGCACCGTCAGGGATTCCCGCGAAAAAAAAGATAATGTAATTGTTATTCCGTTCGAAGCAAAAAAAATGACCATGAAAAAAAAAAAAAATTCGTCCGCTCTTTTGATTACACTCGAGCTTCCCACGCTGCCCACATGCAATGATCGATGGCATCCGGATTCCGCATTGATTCTTGAACAAACAAAAAAAAAAACACGTAAAACTCTTATCTACAATTTCTCTTAATACAAAAAAAAACGCAAAACGCTAACAAGATTCTACAAACGGAACAGACCTCGTTACGTTGTAACCCAGCCTCGAATTAACGCAAGATCTCAGAACAAATTGGAAGCCACTTGTTTTTCTGGAAACGGAAGCTTACTGGCTGCGCCGATTACGTGCCTTTTTTGCTATACTAGCTTTAATTTGTTTCCTCGGAGCGATTCTCACGACTGCACAGGATGAGCACTCGACTGAACAATTAAACCGGCTAATGATACCTACGTTTTCGCGACACCAAAACAAACAAAGGATACGTATTTTTCTTAAAAAAAAAAACTATGCAGGACTCGCTTCAGATCTACCCTGCTCAGATTAAGAAAGAATCGCCCCGAAAAGCCGAAAAAATCAACGCGATCGAAACACGACTAAAATCACAACTTTGACACAGGTAAAAATATATATATATGTATATGTGTGTACGCGGGGTTAAATCGGTCGAAGCCGGCTAAACTAAACTTGGTCACGGTTCTTTACTTCTTTCCTCATTATGCCCAGCGTCGTAACACGTCTTCGAGGACCCACAAAACCTATCCTTAGCCGGAACGAACAACGCAGGACAGCGAAAAAGAAATTCTTCATGAATCCACGTCATTCGCCATACATGCATTAAAAAACAATTAGAAAGCGAAAAAGACAGCCGATTGATGCAATGATTACACCGGAACCGTGTTGAAAGTATAAAGAAGCCATTTCGCATAATTACCAATCGAGGAAAGCACTGCTGCCAAAAATGAGCCGATTCTTCTTTTTTTTTTAAGCTTTGTCAATCAATCGAATTTTTTTTCTCGACCACATCATCTTCCAAACGACATTGCCTGTTTTTGTTTTTTTCATGTGGAAACGAGTCGAAAATTACAGGCCTCGGAATATACGTCAAACCGTTATCCTAGTCGTCAGCATTTGTTCGAAGCCATGCCGGTTTGAAAGAAAGAGACGGTTTCAAGAAATTCAACAACGCTAGTCATTCTCAAAAAAAAAAAAATCCTAGTCGCAAAAAAGCCATAAATTAAAGTCATTCGCAGTCGTAGTCCGGGTCGCAATCCAACTTGGAGCGGACTTGATTTTTGGCGTACTTGATCAGCAGCCGGTCGCCGACCTCGGCAATAGCCGATAAAACTTGGTCCAACATTTCCTTGGTGTGTCCAGCACTCACGCAAAATCTAGCCCTCGACTCTACCACGGGCGTCGCCGGGAATCCCACAGCAACCACCGCCACATTGTACTCAGTCATGCACCGAGCAAACCACGGGATCTTGGCCGGTTGAAACAGCAACAACGGAATAATCGGAGAGTCGTCGTGACCGAAAATGATGAATCCCATGCGCATCAAATTTCGTCGTAGATACCGGGAATTTTCAGCCAGCGCGCGTATCCGTTTGATGCCCTCGTGGGTCCCGTCCTTGCCCATGATGATGGACATGGCAGCGATGACTTGCTGGGCAACCGGTGGACTCATGGAACACGCATAAGTGCTAGCGTGTGACCGGACGCGCAAGTGGTCAATGATACTCCGCTTGCCAGCAATGTAGCCGCCAGCAGAGCCAAAGCTTTTGGTAAACGTGCCCATCATGATGTCAACTTCCCGGGGGTCGATGCCAAAGTAGTCGGTGATGCCGCGGCCTCGGGGTCCGATGGCGCCGATGCTGTGCGCCTCGTCCAAGTATAAATACGCTTTGTACTTGTTCTTTAGCCGAATGATGCTGGGCAAGTTCACGATCGTGCCCTCCATGGAATAGATGCCTTCGACGACGATCAGGATTTTCTTCCAGGGACGCTTTGTTCGCGGCTGGCCTTGAACGATGGCGTCGCGAATGACTTTCTCTAGCGACGCCATGTTGTTGTGCTGGAACACGTGGATGGCGGCACCCGAGAGTCGGGCACCGAGGATCAGTGACGAGTGGTTCCACTGGTCAGATATGATCAAGCTTCCTTTGCCTACCAAGGCTGGCAGGTTCAGCGAATTCGTCGCAAAACCCATGCCGAACACAATCGCATCCTAGAAAAAAAGAACCAAAATATCCTCAGTAAAATATTGTACAACTTCCTACATTGAACATTTTTCTATATGTGAAAATCTGAAATGACACAGATCATAGTTCCATCGTACGTACTGTACATGTATCGCGATCACAGTGAAATCTATATCACAAGAAAATCCGATCTTGGTTCTTCGTGCATTTAAAGCTCACATTTTATGAGAAATCGGCAATACAGACAGACCCTCTCCACAACGATTCCCTCTGTAAAAATAATTCTACTTTAGTGCCATGAGATTCTCTTCTCATGTTATAGAGGTTCTCGACTATGAAATCATCTTCACGATTTTTTTGCTGGTCCCTTGAATTTCGTTGTACGGAGTCCATTCGAAGATTCTTCGAAGTACTATTCGACAACAGATAAGAGAAGAATTGCCATCTTTTCCAACTTTTGCTGAAAAAAATACAATTCTCTTATTTCAGTTTTCCTCTTCGTACAACAGATAAACTGATCTTACCGAAAGGTTAGCTGAAAATACACATTTGAGAAGAGCATTTACTCATATTCATGAATAACGGTATGTTTCCTGAAATAGTGCAGTGTGTTTTTCAAACATACTGTACCATACTTTTTTCCGGAAATTACGCATTTCTAAATTCTAAAATAAAGGTAGATACATTTTCTGGTCGGGAAATTTCTACCTGGAGAATTTATTCAACATTCCGCAAAAACGTGTGCTACACTGGAATTGGGAAGTTTATTATACAAAGATCGTTTTCAAAACGTACTCTATGGGCTTTCTGTCAGGACTTGGGAAATAGTTACACACGGAAATCTCGTTACATTGGAATCAATTGGACCAGTAAAATAGTTTCGTTGCAACGAAAAATTCGTTTTACAGTAAAGCAACTCATTCAACATTGTGGGTAGGGACAAAAAAAAAGACTTTGCAGTGAGCTATTATTCGTTAACACGAGATTCGTTGCAACAAGATCTACAGTACTGTATTTTGTTATCCAAAAATTTGTTTCAACAGTATTTGTTGCAACAAGATTTTCCCGCATAAAGTCAAAAAAGAAGATACAGGTGGACTCTTTCTACAACGATCTTGTTCAAGATCTTCTCTGTACAACGATTCATTTGTTGGTCCCACCGGGTTCTCTTCCCATGCCAAAGGCATTCTGTACAACAGAATTATCTCTACGATGATTTTTTTTTCTCGTAAGAGAAGAAAAAAAAAAAAAAACTCACCTCCAACCCCAGATACTCGGCGACTAAAGATTCCAACTCTTCAACCGCCCGCCCACTCCCCAACTCCCTCGTGGCACTGCCCAACGTCAAGCCTTCCTTACGAATCGCCCCCTTCGCAGAATCGCAACAAGGACCACGATTCTCCGCAAAGCCCAAATAGTTGTACGACCCGAAATTGACGCACTTGGTCTGCGTTCCCGTGAACTGGAAATTCCAGCCATTGTCCGGCGTGTATCGGTCCTTGAGCGTACACATGGCCCCGGGCACACTGCAAATCGGCCGACTGCAATACTCTCGTCCGCGTCGGTAAATGTGCCTCGCAAAAATACTCTCCCAGTTGTTGAAGTACAACGGAACGTAGTTTTCCCCAAAGCGAGGGTCGACGTTGAGTCCGTTGCGCAACAGGCCGAATTTCGCCAGCCACTCGGACGCGTAGCCCAGGAGGCAAAGGATGATGTACGAGAGGTACGTGAGAAACACGGTGACGATCGACACGTGCGCCCGGCTTTCCTCGTAGTTGTGCAGTTCCTTCCAGTTGTGATTCTTGTCGGTCTTCATGCCCATGTATTCCGGGCTGTAGCCGTTCTTGAGCCCGTTGCTCATTCCCATCTTTCCCTCAATAGATTTCTTCTCTACTCGCTCTCGGAGTTATTTTTTTTTATAGCCGCATCCCTTTTACGCCAAACCCGCCGAACACTTTTTGCACTAAATCGTCAAGATCTTCACAGATCAGAGCAAAACCCCTTCGCCTCACGTTGAAAGAGCAGTGTTGAGGGTACGTAATAAAAAAGGGAGAAGGGAAAATTAAAAAATGGCGTACACCTGCGGACATAGGAAAAAATTTCGTTGGTTTCGGAAAAACAGAACCCGTATTACCATCAAAAATATCCCATTCCATCTTTAAAAAATTGAACACAGAATCATTCGCCAAAAAAACATCTTTCTGAAAAAATCTTCAATCCTCGCCAGCTGCTTTCGTTGACGAAATTTCCCCGCGAAATGACCAGATCATACAAATTCTTGAAAAACTATCAAGAAATAATAGTTCACCTATATTTTTGCGGAAGAGAATATTCAGAATTTCATGTGCGTCGGAAACCAACACATTAGCCAGCTTTTCAATGGAAATAACTTTAGAATTTTTTCCGTGATTGAAAAAAGATTTCAACAGTGGCATCACCGAAAAAAAAAAATTAGTAGCAAATACCGGCGTCGAAAGGTGCTGATAAAAAACAATAATATACAGTGTACTTCTTTATCTTAAACAAAATTTATAGTCCTTTTCCCATGAAAAAACATTATCTTGGAATTTTATTTTCCGAAAGACAGGTTGGTTTTCAGCTTGGAGCGCTCAACAGGACTGAAACAGGTTCGCTACTCTTCAACTTAGTCCATCACGCAGTGCAACGTTTCATTTTCTTCAAGGCAAAAGAGTCTTTCAAGTAAAAAAAACATAAAAAAAACTTATGATTCGGCAATTTTTTTGCATTCGTCAGGCTCGCAATGAAGAAAGCACGTTAAGCCTGTCGACAGTGGAAATACCGGCTCCTGACAACGACCTTCAGCGTCTGGAACTTGAAAGTCACAAGGTCGAAACAGCACTTGGTACGGATCACTCAAAATATGCTTCAGGCAATATTTGGCTCCACAAATCGGTTTTTCGCCGCACTTCGTCCCACGTTGCGGCGCATAAACGCACTTGGGGGAATTGCCCTCTTTCCGCGCTGCCGAACGAACCGACCTTTGAAACAAGGAAGGAAAAAGTTGAAGCATTTTAAGCAGAAACTTGATCTAACAATTCTCACGATTCCATCGTCAAAACACGCTTGTTTTCAAAGGAAAAAAAAACCGAAACCTTGGATGCATTTGCGAAAACGTGTTTCAGACGAAAAAAATACATCTTTGTCATCCTCACCAAGGATAAATTGAAAAAAATGCGGGCGGAACTACGCAGTTTATTCTGACTGCCTCTCATGCACTGTTCTCAGAGAGAGAGAGAAACACCTCTTCGTGGCTCTGTCATTCATCCACTAATACCGTTAACTTTCCGAACAATGGTTTATCAATATTATGTCGAATCTTACACGTACATGCGTTTAAATGAACAATAAAAGGATTAAAGAACTACGTGGAATCTCGTAACAACGAATCTTGCTATAAAGGAATAATCGATAACAACGAAGTAACTTTCGTAGGTCCCTTACCGATGGCCACCATGTTAAATGAGTTACTTCATAACAAATGTTTCTTTACAATTAAGCTATTTCAATGGCCCCAATCGCTTAGTTGTAAGGAGATTTGACCGCAGTACCGTCATTTCTAGAAAAAAATTGGGACAGGAAAAGGATCTGCAAAGTAAGGGAATGTCGCCCTCTAAATGATTAGTTTTCTTGCGTTAATTACACATAAAAATTTTCGATTCGAAGTGAACGTCACCGACAGTAGCGATGGAATTTCAAATTGACACGGAAAGATCCGAGGTTCAATCTTATTGTGTTCTTGCTTCCACCTGTAGCATTTTTGAGAAATTTTGATGAATTGAAAAAGGGTAGAGAACACCTACGACATCGGGAAGTATCCTATGGGACCAAAAAATGAATAAATTCATGATACAGAGAAAAATCTTTGCAGAAAAGATTGCTGTAGACTTGTAGAGGGAGTTCAAAAGTACAGTAAATTGAATCAATCGGGTAATCTGCCCTCATTATACTGTTGAGTTACAAGCGGTCCCAGAAAAAAAAAACGGAATCGAACAAAAATTCGCCCTCATCTCAACAGGAGAAGAGCTCCCAGTACCTAAGTCATATTCTTTTCCAACAGTAAACGGATAAATTGAACTTGTACCCCATGTGAAAAAGAAAATTTTTTAGCTCACTTTGCAAGCAGAACTGCCTCAGGTCCACGGAACCTCGAAAGCCGACGCAACCATTTGAATTTCGTATACGAATTGCCCTCGTCCCGAACGGATTCTCGAGACGGAACGACCGTTCCGTAAAGCTCAACTTCTCGACGAGCGGTGGTCAGGTACTTTTTGCGCTTCTCCGCCAACGATCGCTTGATCAAATCTTGCTCTTTTTGGTAAAGTTCACGCAGTCGAAGCATCTTCTCGCTGGCGATTGTTAAAACTTCCTCCTCCGTCAGGGTACCCGCATTCCTTGAAACAATCGGTTTGAAAGGACCAGTAAGCAAAATTCATTTTTCAAGAATCCCACAATGTCCATTAATTATTCCTGAGACGGGAACAATTCTTTCGACAAACTGAGTCTCCAGGAGATTGCCAGAACACCTTAGAAACTGAAGTATCCACATAGAAATTTCCGGAAAATGGCAAAATTTACGCCAAATGGTTGTAAATTATGTAAAATATACACATTGTGAGTGATTTTCCATTTTCTGTCATTTTTGATACCCGGAGGAGGACGTTCGGCCATTAACCCGCATTCTCGAAGTTGCACAGTCACAGAAAAATATTCTCGACGGAAAAATTTTGGAAACTCGAAACCACAGGCGATGACGTCATTACGATTGCGCAACTGCAAAAGCGCGTCTCTTTATTCAGGTCCGCGAGGAATTTTCTTTCTGACAGAATTTGCGGGATTTAGAATACGTGTTGGTTTGAGGAATTTTTCTCTCAAACGGCAAGGAAAATTTGAAAAAAAAAACTGACAAAAGCACGATGCAAATTTTCTGAAGAACTTTACAATGCAGTGACACATCATGCAGGCTTACGCAAAATTTCATTCAACAAATGCGCTTCAATTCAAAAACATACCTAAAAAAAATTAAAAAAACACGTACCACATATGAAAAAATCTGCATGAGGATGATATTGCTTGTCTTAGCATAAAAATTTACATCTGTGTTTACTACTTTCCAGAATTTTCATGATTTTTTCTTCTTTCAGGGATTCTTTAACCATCCCACAGTCCATTCCCTAGATTACTATACAGTAATTTTCAAGTTGGCAGCCACAACTACCGAATTCAAAATACTTATTTGAAGATGAATTAAAAATTCAGAATGTTGTTCCACCCCAAAAATTCTAGAAGGCTATGCTTGTGATTCAATGCTTATCACTGAATTAAATTAGGAACTTCTCAGTTAAAAGGGTAACATTTGGAACCTCAGAAATTATCGTCTATTGTTGACTGAAATGACTCTCAACCTCTGCAATGCGGCCCTTGGCCACAACGAAAAAGTATTAATGTGGCCCTCCGGCTCATTTGAGTTGAGCGAAGGAAAGTGGCTTTAAATTTTTATTTTGATCAACCCAAGACCCACAGGTACAGAACTGCGAATGACGAGTCGTTTCATGTTCCAATTTTCTTCCAGTTTGTTCGCAAAGAGAGACCCTATCAAAATCAACGAACTAGATTTGCAGTAAGAGGCATACATGAAGTTCACATGCAGAAGTCATAACTACGCACAAACTATCAATTCCCACATCCGACAAAAACTCACTCCAAGTGACAACTGGACTCGGCAAAATAAGGACAGTCATCGTCGGCGTCATCCCGACGACTCATCCCGATCGTGAGCGATTCTCGATCACACCTTCCGAAAATACCACTACTATAGGCTTCCAATTCCTCGTCTTCGTCGTCGACATCGTCGTCACTGCCGAACATAAAAGGATCATCCCTGGTCGCTGACAACGCCGCACCCGTCTGATCCATTCCCAGGTCTCGTTTGAAATCTGCATAGGCTCTGAACAACGCCTCGTCTTTCTCGTCCAGACGAGTCGATGGCACAGAAACATCTCTGTCGGCGAGTTTCTTCAGCCTCTCATATTCCATCAGATGATCGTCACACAATCTGAAAGCCGAGGAAAAGCACATAATGAGGCAAAACCGTGTTAACTCGACCAAAAACGGCCCTTTCCCCCCCCCCCCAGGTACCCTTGTCCTGATGAATGCCGTTCACTTCATTCCAAAAAAGAGACATATTATATCGTGCCTCATACCTTCGCAAATCTTGAATCACGCTAACTCGAATTTTCAGTAAATTCAAAGAGGAAAAAAAGGCAAATCAAGGTTAAATTTTGAGGCACGCGGGAACGAAAAAATTATTCGGGCACGGCTAATCGGAACCCGGAACATTAAAGTCGCGCCGACAGGTATTTCAGTAACGCGAAGAATTACGACGAGAAACTTGAGAAATTTACCCCTCTTTCCTGGAAACCGGGCACGTCCCGAAACACCTTTTCCCATTCTTGTGCACGTAAGAACATTGCATGAAGCTCGTATTTTGCAGATCTTCCAGTATGTGCTCAATGCAATGCGTCGACCCTGGATATCGCGGGTTTTCACACGGAAAATTATAATGACTGCACAGTTCTGTCATCTCGCCTGAAAATAATGACTCATGATGAATAACTAACTATAAAGCCTCACGCATCGAATATTCAACATAATAAATTAATAGAAACTCCAGCTTTCGGAAAAACATGGAAATCAAGCAATGATAAGTTTTTCCACAGATTCTTTCGAGTAGACAAATCAAAGCACAAAAAATCACATAAAAATCTGAAGCATATTCGCGGAAATATTCTCCGCGCGCATGTTTGCCTTACGAGTCAAAAAAATTCCAGCTTTCGTTTGGTCTTAGAATCCAAAGTTAACAGGTTCTTACGATCCCTTGAAACCGAATACCTGCTTTTCGAGATCGCCTTGATGAGTCCGTGAAATTCAACGCGTTGCTTTCACGCAACCTTCGTCGCTCCAAATTTTTAACCGAATCTTTGCCACATTTCTGAAGAGTTGCTTGCATTCAGGTATAAAAAAGGGTTAGAATACTGACGTAAAACGGCGCAAAAATCCTACCGAATTGTTTGTGCAAGAAAAAGAATTAGCATGAATCCCGCGAAAAGATACGACAATCAGAACTTCCACAAGGAAAAAAGGTTTTTTTGGCTTTCGAAGTTTCAAAAGACAGACGCACAGGAAAATTTCCTTGCCAATCGCGTCACTTCCCAGAAATGTGGCGAAGAGATTAATCAGAAGAACAACTATGTCGAAGACATGATCGCGTAATTCAAGTCAACAAAATGCATAAAAAAAATAATGTTACGATGAAAACGTTCTGCTGACAGCGAACAGCCTCTATGTAAAAAAAAAAGATCAGCAGGTTGCACGCCAAGTAACAAAAAAATGAATACTCCACGAAGAACACCACAGACTGAACACAACATCGCTCCTCGCTTAATGGAAGTGAACGACGAGAGATCACGATCGTCTCATCCACTTCGAGCACCCGCACGCGGTTTTCTTTTTCCGTTTTCTCGCAAACAGATACCATTTCTATTTTCGCACAAGCAGCATTATTGAAAAACTTTTAGGTACGTAATTCTTGCGTTCAAGTCGTTTTCTCGCCACCACTAAATTCAAACATAGTGAATTTCCTTTGAATAAACGATGAGATCTAATTGGACGATACACATAAACCGAACAGTTCCTCATCAACGATGTACACAACCTCTTCTGTAGAATAGTAAATGCATCAATTTTCCTAAGCAGACGTACAGAAAAAAAAACGTTACGTTGAACTCTCGAGGAATCCGAATTCTGAACTTTTTAGGGGTTCAAGGATTGGACTCGAACAGATGGATGAAAACCTACATTCCACGACTTTTCTCTAGGATATGTAGATGAGGTGACCCATGAAACAAATTCAAGATTTACACTTCATACTGGATTCTAATGTGAAGAGAAGTTGGAAAAAAATCACCTTTCTCCACGAGTAAGACAAGTAAACATAAAACCAAGCTCATGCAGAATTTTCAGCACCCTGAAATTGGAGCTCTAGCTAATTGCAATGCATTTTATTTCGAGTGGAGGAGTCTAAATGAAACTTCGCATTTCGAACATACATCAATTCTAACGCTGCAGAAATCGGATCTATGATGGAAATTCTGTCTTTTTATGGAAAACTATTTTCTAATGGAAACTATTTTTCATGAAATCCTTCCATCATAGTTTTTATAATTTTGTAAAAAGGGACATAATTTCTTCGTACAGTAGTTTTATCGATCCTAGGAATAACGCAAAGCATTATCTAGGTACAGTCGAACCTCTTTAAGTTGAACTTCAAAGGAAAAAAAAAGACCCAGGGGAGGTTTTGGGACTAGACCTAATTTTTTGGGGAAATTAAATACTGTAATTAGGTTTCAAAATGTTGTTCCAGATTGTTGGTCTCGCGTCTGTTTCAAGACTAGAAATCGACATCCTTTAGGTGCTGCGACCAAGTACAATAAAACAGAAGAGTTACATCTCGCATGTGAGATTGTTTCAGGACGTTACCCTTTTCTATTGGCCAGAAATCCTTGATAGAAAGACCAGGTGCCTGGGTGCTGGAAACAAGTTGTTTGGATGAGTATCAGGCCCCGGAAATATTCTTTGAGAGTTAGGAGCATGCAGTGCCAAATTTCAATGGCTCTCTTCCTTCCAGAAAGGATTAGATATAAATTTTGGGTCCTTCAATGTGTTGGAAACTTTGAAGTTCGAAAGGTTTCCCAGTAAATGGTTTCGACGTTCTGTTAACACTGTTTTTGCGGGGATTTGGTAAGGGACTGCATGGAAATTTGAGTAAGGGAGGTTCGAGTTATAGAGGTGTGACTGTAAAAAATAAAAAGCTATAATGCGAGTTCCAATCTTATTTTTCGGAGAAACTTGGTTCACGTGTTTCTCATTCAATTCTATGATTTTTGCCATAGTGCGCGTTTAAATACTTCGCTGTCGTCGTTCCCGTCTTCGCTGATTCGCAAATCGTGTGCGGGTGGTCGAGTGGTGGTGGGGGTTAAAAAGTCCACCGAAACAAAGAGATCATGGCCGCGACACGGGGGCAAGGGTCACCACTGTCCTAATAGACGCATTTCCGACTCGCCGCTCCATCGGTGTCGGTATCACGTGGGTCTCCAACACGATCTCTCGTGGTTTCGGAATCAACGGTGGCAGCGGCGGCGGCGGAGCAGTCGGAATCTGGGACACAAACACTGGCTGCGTTTCCATCACTGACGGAATAGTCACATACGGCTGACTCCAAATCGTGACGGGTCTGTGAATGGAAGTCGTTGCCGAGGTGAAACCGGAGATCGTCACATTGATCGGAGCGGGTTGAGGTGGTATCGCAACAGGTACTGTAGTCGGATAGGAAATCAAGGGTTCGTCTTCAGGACGATGGAGTGCCGTTGCGGACTGTTGTGAACTTCCCGACGTGGGCAAAGGTTCGGTTAATTTCTCAATGCCTTCCGTTAGCGTTTGAACGTCGTTGCAAGCTTTCAAAAGTGCCTCTTCCAGCGCGTTGCTCTCCTCCAGACTCGGTTCGAGATTCAAAACTCCATTTCCTTCCGCTAATGAAAAAAAATATCGAACAAAAATATCACAATCGAGGGAAAATCCCATTTCACACCACATCCTCACGCGACTTTGGAAGAAACACGCCTTTTTCGCGTGTTGGAAAACCAAGAATCATCCGACAAGTCGTTCTATGAGACCATATCGTAAAATGTAATGATTAGTCAAAACCTTATCTTTACAATGACTCACGAGAGCCTCTCTTTTTTTTTAAACACAGCCCGGCGAACAAACTCCCCACAACGCGCCATCCTAGATTTCATTGACTTTCCATCAAGCGTGAAAAAAAAAACACAGGCGCGCAGACAGAAACAAAGTTGAACGTGATAGAGTCGTGAAGTCTGTGTGTACTCGAATGGACGAGTATGTGAAAGCGTAGTGTGCATTCAAAAGATTGAAAAGTTGACTTTCACATGCACACACACCTCGAAAAAAAAAATTCAAGCACAGCATCTGATTCCTACTTCTTGCCTCTCTCCGCGTCAAAATAGCCGAAGAAACTTCAATGCCACTAAACTCGAAGGTACATCTCTATACTTCAATAATGATTCGATTACTGTGACTAAATTTAATATTGGCAATCAAGACCTGTACAATTTCCAACGGAGTGGACTACCTCTACAAAGAAATTTAAGGGACCAGGAAAATTCGTTGTAGAGAACTGAGGCAAAAAAAAAAAAAAATTCGTCAAAAAGAGAAAATCGTTTTAGAGAGAATCCACATGTGCAGTACAGTACCATATCTACATTCCTCGCCGATCAGCTTGCAATTTGTGGTGTAAAAGTTGGTCATCGCATTTCTTACAATCATTTCGCCTACTTGAATTTTGCAAGACATTTTTATGAACTACTGTATATGAAAAATGATCATTTCATTTTCGATTATAACGGCAATGGTATTTCTGGAGGGGCATTTTTCGGATTTCTTCTAGGCAACTGACTGTTGCTGAACACGACTAACCTGGTCCCGGTCAAGGTACCATTAAGCTTTCCAAGAAGAATCGTCGTAACTAAACTGACCCCAACTGAAACTAACATCATCCGCATACGATCAATATAGCTGGCACATATTTCAAGATGGGGAAAGATCTAGTAGTTGCAACTCATGATATTCGAGAGAGAAAGTTGCAGCTGACTGCTGATTCACGATTTCCCCACGAGTCCCAACAGATTCAATCTATCGGACTCGAACAAACGGTCACTTCTCGAAGTAGGCCAAGTAGGCAGAAAAAAGGCGACTCTCACCCGAGAAAAGATCCGAGAATGCTTCGTCAGGCATGTGATACAGCACGTCATTAATATCCGCAGCGTCAAGCAGATTCTCAGCATCGGGTATATCAGGAAGCAGCAAGGAAGGGTCAGCAATGAAAGGAGGCTCCAGCGGCTCGGCTTCAAACGGACACTCGACAGCAGTCGTAGTTTCAGAAACAGAACCAGGCAGCACCGGGTTCGCGATGGCACGTTTCTTGCGACGTCGAAACAGTGGCCCGTTCCTGGAACGCTTCTTGGTCTTGGACATCGGCGACGAGTTCTCGGAAGAGGCGCTTACAGCGAAGAGATGGTGTTCGCAAATCGGCAGATCGTTCTTCGTGAGCACAGCCGGGTTATCACAACGTTGTTCCTCCTTTGTTGTCTCACATCGCTGAATCAAAAGGCATAGTCATCAGCATTCAGAAAGTGTAATGCAGAAAACGTTTCCGATATCACGAACAGTTCAGAAAGATTCAAAGATTCAGACGGCTGACAAGCATCCAAAAATGCTGTCGTTGATAAAATTGTTTTCGAAATTTCGCATCAGAATCAAGTATCTGAACTTCGAAAACTGTAAAAAAAAAAATGCATACCGGCATATGACGCACATCCCCCTTTTTCCTCTCGATTTTCAGAAAAAAGGTGCATGTTGTGCTTCAGTAAATACAGTATTTCAGTAAATACTTAAAATGAAAAAATTTTCAGAATGTAAAATGCTGGAATCATTCTTTCAGGAAAAAGCGGAAGAACTCCTCTGAGAATGCGGTAGATCACAAACACAGCTTAAACGGATCACCGCGATGAGTCACGTTATACGAAAGATAAGCACGAACGATGCGGGTTCGAATCGCGTTTTACGTTACGTAATCTGAATGACGGAATCATACGCGTTCCGAGTTCGGTTCACGGAGACTTCGGGCGGTTCCGGATTAGTCCGAAGTTCAAATCAATCTTAGTGATTCGTCAGAAGGTAAAGGAAAAATTTAAAGGCGTCCGGCTTGACATTGAGTTGGGCGATCTCTTCAGATAGCTACATACTAAGAATTTTTTCACAAACCGAAAACAGGAGATATCACGGTACATACACAGGGAAAAAATGACCACTCAATTGATAATGCATGTTATTCGAAGATCTCCTTATTCATCGAACTTTTCACGGGGATCACAAAGAAAAATATTGGTCAATCACAATACTAAGACACAATCGCATCCAGAATGTCCAAAAAAAATCAAAGAAATCATAAATCTAGAGTACCCTATGGATGGAGGACGATGCATGATTCTCTTCGATACGAGATACCATGCTGACGGCAAAATATACAGACAGAAAATTCTGCAATGACGAGGTAAACGACGTCATTTAAATCGATCGAATTTTGAAACAATCATTTTTTCAACGATCTAAAACTGTTTCATAAATTTGCATAAGGAGTGCATCACATATAAATCTCAGTTTTCGGTCAACTTAAATTATTGAATATTCATCCTAAAGACCTGCAGCAAGTTAAAGAGTTTTCACGCATTCAAATAGATAACAACCACAGGCGTCAAAGTTCAATCAGCATAGCGGAGAACGGAGGGCAACGATCAGCACTAACAATTCTTCTGAAATTCGCATGGTACTGTACAACGATATTTTACCTGGAAGAGGTATTGATCTTTGCAGTGCCAAATATGTAAACGGCAGTATCTTGTCAGAGGCAGAGACGTTGCTCCACATTCCCGCGGAGTGCATTCTTCTTCATTCTTTAACATGAAGCAGCAACGTCTTGGAGCTACGGAGAGTCTCTTGGATCTGAAAATGACAAAATACGGTCAAGAAGAATGAAGGAGAAAAAATATATCGTCTCCTCACAAAGCTTTCATCGTTGGTGGTTTACTAGCAGCATCGAAATCTGCCAAAACATACTCCATTAATCCGGAGTGCTTCCTTGAACATGAGATCAACAACGAAGCCTCCCGAAATTTCCGTTCTCCATCACGCATGACGGAAACCTGCAAGGATTCTTTCAGCTGCTTGTTCCGCCTTTTCAAACTCTTCTTCATTTCACTAAGTTGCCTCCGACGAATATCTACCGGCGATGAGCAGCCAATTTGTTTGATGCTCGAAGAATCCGAAAAGAACCAGTGTTTTTGAAAGCTGAAATCGTCGTCGTCGGAATCCTCGCTATCGGAAGGAACTAAACCGAGAGGAAACAAGCTTTTGCTCTCCATTCGCATAGCGATTTGGAGATCTCTGAGCTGCTTGAGATCATCCGGTACGTTTTCTACAATCACGGGTTTCACTCGCGCCGGCACCTTTGGGGCAACATTAACCCAATTCACAGTTCTGGTCTCATAACGCTTCGGATTTGAACTGAGCGGCTTCTTCTTCTTTCGCCTCTTCCGATGTTTATAGCTTCGCACATCACATTCCTTCAGCACAGGAGGCTCTTTCTCAGACGGCGGTTCTTTCTTGTCCTTTTCTTTTCCCTGAACTACTACGGACGTCTTTTCCGTAGGCAGCTCAGACGCTACTACAAGGTTATCCTTGCGTTCTGCATGCCACGTTATCAAAGATGACGCATTCACAGTTTCAGAGGGTGATGCAACTTCACCTCGGAGTACTTCAAACGATGGAAGACGGATCGAATCATTAGAAGTTGACTTCGGTGAAACGGATGGATTGTGGAGAACGTTGACTCCAGGGCTGAATAAGGTTGCACTGGTAGTATCAGTCTTCGGCGGAACACGAGCTTCTTCCGAAGTTTTCCGAACAGATGGCATTGGAACCGGCGAAATCTGCGCATTTTTCCAGGAATCTTCGCAAGACGAAACGCGATGTTGGGTTGACGCATTTATCGCAGATTGATTTGACGCAGCAGGAAATCTGAAGCGGGATACACAGAACTGCGGTGGTGGTGGCACTCTAATTTGTTGCTTCAATGGAGGGGGAGACAGATAACCGCCATTCACATAAACGGTACCGTTAACGTAGCTAAGGTTCTTCGTCTTCGCAGTTGAACAAGCAGTGCCCGACGATGGATGCAGCAGGTTTCGGCTGAAGACGCCTTTGGGACCGACGAAACCATTCAACGGAAATGACGATTCCGATTTCGCCAGTCTAGCGAAGTACGATGGAGGTCGAACATCTTCGGCACGTTCTCTTTGAGGTGCTGTCGGACGCGATGACTTCGAGTAACTGACTGGGCGAACGACAGAGCTGGGGAGCCGAATAGTGGCGCCAACCGGGTGTGGCGCCACGAGCACATAGCTGCCGGAACCATCTGTACGCCGCGGTTTCCGAAGGAGTTTGTTGGTGAGCCTCGACTTCGGCGGTTCTTCAACGAAGTCGTACGGGTCTGTTCCGCAGCCAACAGACGCGGTCGAGGTCGAGGCTACCGCGCGGCAGTCGCCGTTCACGCTCCCCTTGCTCAAGTCAGCCATGGTGGCATCAGGCTTTTACACGAGACCGAGTATCTCATTTCCGGTTGCTCGTCGAAACTCGGCGGAAACTTTTCTGGCGTCAAGTCTTTACCCAGATTTTCTGGATAAACGCTCATCTATGAGAAAATTAACAATACTGCTGATTTTCAGAAGCGAAAATCACCTAGGTGAAGTTCCACGGCGCACCCTGTTGCCACGAAAACCATCACCGAACGGCATGCTACGATTAAAATTACAGTAATTTATCTTAGCTAACGAGGGGGGTGATTCATAGACAGCTCAGGAGTTCGATAAAAATGTCACATCGTTCAGAAAATTATCTGAATATTTACAATACGGTGAGCGAGAATTAATCAGGTAGTCGATACCCGATAGTAGAATTTTGTCTTTCTGAAGATTCATTCGACGCACAAGGGTTCCTATAAATTACTGATTTCTGACGCGAGATGACAACTTCGAACATGCATTACACAACGCGACGCACAAATCACGCATGTATGGAAAGTTGTCACGTCACGATGATAAGACTTCCACGTGAGTCCAGTCACGTGATCAAAGAAGCCTTGATAATATTTCATAAAAAAATATCGAGGTAACATTCGAAATCTCGAACTAAGTAGCCGAACTAGCATTCCGAAGAATGTCTCCTTCCCGCGCATCTGAACCAGGCGCTTACACATTCATACGCAAGACTCCAGTTTCTCCTCAAACTAATGATGTACTCCGTTTCAGTCCGTGACTGACCAACGCTCATCTCGATTTTCAGAATAACTTTTCTGCAGCCGGAAATCTGGATTTCTCACGCTACTCAACTTTACAGAGTTAATTAGCGGCGGGAGGTCACACCATCCGCCAGTCGCGGCTCAATGTAAAATTCCATTGGGTTTTCGATAGTCTCATGTGCAAAGAGCTTTACCGGTTCAACAGCATAGTGAAATGAGCGACAAATACCTTACTAGTACAATGAGACCCCAATACAGGGACACCACCACATTTTGAAAGTTGGAATTAGAAACACTTGGGTAAAAAAAAAGCCACCCTCAACATCCAAACAATGACCTGAAATACAGAAACTTTTTCCAGATTTTGGCATGAATTAATTTACTTCTAATTTGTGTACTTTTCGAAGAAAGTGAGCTAATTCTATTCAAAAAATGCTAAAGATATATTTCATGATAAAATTACCCCAATTCATAATATAGAACACTGGCTAATTTTGAACTTTTTATACAGTTTTTCCGTCATGTGTGCTCAGTATTGCAAGACTTGTTCATTGCTTCACAAGCTCTTTCTGATGCCTGAAGATCAGATTCTATTTGGTTTTCTACTATGAATTCATTTCTGGATCTTAAAGTTGAGAACAAGTTATTTTATCTTAGTTTAGAAAGACTCAACTTTTCATCAAGACTACAAGGCATGACCCAAATTTGAAAGAGTCCCATTGAAGTCAATGTGAAAACCAGGTCCAACCTTTAGACATTCTAACTTAGGGATTATAGGTCCAAGCACCAATACATCTGCATCATTTATAACCTAGGTACAATCCAAACATTTCCTTCAGTATCAAAGAAATACTGTATAAGGGAAGCAACTCTCCCTTCAGAAATTTTTGAAAAACAAAGGAGGGTAATCTAACTTTGCTTTTCTGGAGAAGTCTCCTGGCAGGTAGGGTATAGGATAAGGGCAGTTTCTATTTTTCTCCATGCATTCATCTAACAAAATAAATCAATCCCACCTTCAGACAGACCAATACAGTATACAAATATCACGGAAGTCGGCAATGATAGATCGCTGAACGGCATTTAAAATTGGAATAAGCAAGGTTTTTCCCAGCGTCCCATAAACAGAAATGAACATGGTTATTGATTGTTAAGGTAATTGATCAAAGACCTCGCAGGATCTCTGCTATTACGATCTGTCTTTTCATTTTCACCTTTCACGTCTCTCGATGTTAAAATAGGATGGATGAAACGCTTTTACCACATGGAGCAAAAAAGTTGTTGGAAAACAATGCAAGCATTGAAAACTACATTTCCAAATGTGAATGCATCATTTATGTACTTCGACCGAATCACATCGCCATCAACGTTTCTGATTGAAATTGAAAAGTTTAATCGCAGTGACAGAACTTTCCTTTATTGAGAGTCTCTATATCACATGCATCACGCGAAACACGGTTTCAACATAACTTACATAAACAGAAAAGTAATTCTGTCAGCTATGCGAGAAAAAAATTGATGAATCCACAGATTTGTTCCACTCTCTTTCACGCCCATAAGCTCCGCAACATTGTTTTGACAAATTAGATTAGATTTCCGATTTTCAAATCCCATGCCAAGATTACACATGGAGACCGATGTTATCTCACTAAAAATACATGTCATTTAGACACGTCGAACAGACGCAACAACCCGTTAATAACAAACCTTCGATGCCACCACCTTTTTCACAATGGATCAAACAATAGTTTCTATCTTTCTCTCTCCTCTCTTAATTCGGAAGCTCAGCAGCCGGAAATACTCCTTTTTCCGTAATTATGCCTCCAGTTATCAGAGCCGCCGGGGTGACGTCGAACGCAGGATTCCACACGCCAATACCTGAAGAGTGAAAAAACAATAAAAATTGCAATACACCAAAACATTTACTGTACCTGGTGCAGCAATCCGTTGACCAAAAATGCACGTCAGTTCGTCGGCCGGCCGATCTTCGATTTTGATTCCACTTCCATACGGCAAGGAGTAGTCAACAGAGGTTGTCGGCGCGGCAATGAAGAAGGGAATGTTGTGGTACTTCGCGAGTACAGCAAGCTAGCATGACAGGACGCATTTCAATTACAGGGGTCAACGATTCGCTGGGATCAGAACTACAATCCATGAAATGAACACCAAACACTTACACTTTCAAGGACGAAGTTTACGCTTCAAACCCAGACTGATAAAATGCCGTTATCATCTTTATTGTAAGCAATAAAGATTACTCTAGAGCAGGTAAAAAAAAGCCCGTCGTTCAAAATCGAGCGTCGTTTGATTCCAGATTGCTCGAGTTGAATATTTCAAAGTTTTATTTTCGTCATTTAGGTTAACGATTTCGGGTCCACGCAGGCCAGAAAGCTGTAAAAAACTCGGAGCAACAGCTTAGTCAGATCTACAATGACCACTCAAAGAAGAATTTTTATGCATGCCACAGACAAGAGTTAACTCTTGATTTCGTGACATTATTCGTCCTGGCACAATTTGTGGCACTAAATCGATCAAGGCTATTGGATGGGAGGAAGGTTTAGTTGAGGGGTTCAGCTGTAGGCAAGATATGCTTGTTTACATAATTTTTAGGCCACTGCATCTGTTTTAAAAGAGATAGCCATGAACATGATTTGATGAAGCTCAAATGTACTGATCCCTAAGTTGGAATGTCCAAAGGTTGGACCCGGTTTTCACATTGACTTCAATGGGACTCTTTCTAGTTGGTTTATGTCTTGATGAAAAGTTAAGAGAGTCTTTCAAAAATAAAATGAAATAATTCGTTCTCAACTTAATGATACAGAAAAAAATTTAAAGTAGGAAACCACGCATAATCTGATCTTCAGGCATCAGAAGAAACCTAAGAAGCAATAAACAAGAACAAGTCTTGTAATACTGAGCAAACATTATGGAGAAAAACTCTAGAAAAAAGCACAAAATTACCCCGTGTTATTTATCATGAATTATGGTAATATTAAAATGAAATTTATTTTATCATTTGTGAATATAAATAGCTCAATTTCTTTGAAAAGTACACAAAATAGAAGAAAATTAATTCATGCAAAACTCATGGAAAAAGTTTCTGTACTTCAAGGTCATAAATAAAATGAAATTAAAAAAATTCAATCGGAATATTTTTACGCATGTTGTGTCTGATAAAAAAGACTTTGTCAAAGCTGAATATCTCGTGCCATTATGCATCAATCACCAATGTTTCCAGCAAAGCTCACATTTCATTTATGAAATTTCCAGGAAAGGAAGGTGTCATGCAAAAACAAAAATGAAGTGAAAAATAAGTTTTCACAATTTAAATTCAAAGATAGAATGTTCAAAGTTACTGTATCTTGAGTTTTTGTGCGAGCATGGGCATGAAATTCTTGGTACCACTGTAAGCCAAAAATATATGGAAAAACACTATTTCTTCGATTTTGGCGCATGTTTCATCCAAGACAAGGATATTTTTGTGGCACTAAATCAGGGCTTTCCTCAAGAAGACAATGGAGGGAGATTTGTTCCAGGGAAATTTGTGACACTAAGCAAGGTAGGCATTAAAATGGTGGCACTAAATCAAGGGTATTTCACAAACCAGACGATAAAATACTGCAGTAAAGAAGAATCAGAAGCCGAATTATTTTTACGGCCGATTCAATTTAAAACATGATTCCTGCTACAATAGAAAAACCATGTACGGGCCTTGAAGCAAGCTGACAATATAAATAACAGCATATTTTTTGTTGAATAACCTTCATCCATGCAACACGTCGAAAACCAACCCATGACGACAAAAAAACCTTCAATAAATTTGAACTCGGAGGCGATGTGAATTACCTTTCGAATATTCGGATTTTCATCAAATGCTTGAAACTTGATATGTCCACAGTTGAAAGTATTTAACGACGATTCATCAAAGAAATACTGCAGTTTGATGACGTGCAAATACATTTTGACGCGAAAGATTTCTCGTACCTTTCACGTCCGACATGCTCACTTTTTTTTTTTAAAGTTCCGAACCGGATAAGGATTTACGTAGAAAAATTAAATAAATGAGAACATAATCCTTGCACCGATCAGATATCTTCACTTGCCTGATAAGTGCCAATTTTGTTCGCGGTGTCTCCGTTTCTCGCAACGCGATCAGCACCAGTCACGACGAAGTCAACCTTCCCGCTTTTCATCAATGCTCCGGCCATAGAGTCACAAATCAGAGTCGCTGGCAACTCGTCGTGCACCAATTCGTAGGCTGTCAGCCTCGCCCCTTGATTGTATGGTCGCGTTTCGGTGCAATAAGCATGTTCTGAGACATTAAAAAAAAACACACAAACCAAGAAAAAAAGGGCAAATCAACATTATAATAGCGGAGAATAATAATCACGAAATGCGCCTCGCATTTTACCGAGCATCTTCATCTCGTGCAATCGACGAATTACGCCAAGAGCAGTTCCGTAACCGCAGGTAGCAAGCGAACCAGTATTGCAATGAGTCAAGACTCGCAAAGGCTTCACGTCTTCCTTCATCGAAACCATGAACTCCGCTCCGTGTCGACCGATGTTCATGTTATCATCAACATCGTTCTTCATCATTTTGATGATACATTCGACGATTCTTCGAGAAAATTTGAATTAATAAAGTATTTCGGACAAATACACTTAAATTTCTAAGCACAGTACGGTACCACGTTCCGACGCGGTTTCATCGAATGTAACGCAAACGAGAGAATACCTCACTTTTTCGACATTTGCTCAACATCATGCGCGTTATCTGCTGTCAATTTGTCAGCAAGCTCACTCAAATCCTGAGCAGCATTCTTGAGGTTCACCGCAGTTGGACGCGAGGAGACGATGTATGCGAATTTCTCAAGCAGCCAATCTCGAAGAGCTTCTTTCGCCTCGAAACACGCCACACGACGCTCAAGAAGAGAAGCAACCGCTAAACAGCCAATGATAGCAATCGCAGGAGCTCCACGAACCTAGATAAAAATCGGATAAATTCATGGGACTAAGTCATTCAATTAAGCAGGCTAGACGGGAAGAAACATTTTTCAGATACAGCAGTTTTAAACCGCATTCATGAAATTTGATTTCCCAGGATATCTTTGAGCATAGAAAATATAGAAGACCACGTCAAAAATACATTTCAAGATGTGCACTTGTACAACGCAAAACAGGAAACCCCGCATGATTCCTCCAAATACAGTACAGTATTATTCAAACAGTTTTTTCTAAAAGTGCACATCATTTTTGATAAAAATGAGAATGCATGTAGTTTATGCTTGCATTACTATTTTGCAGATAACCGAACTGTTCAAAATCGTGACCAAATTTCAAACGATTGAAACATCTGCTCGGGAACAGTACTTCAGATGACACTCATGCTCCAAAATTTTAATGCTGGTAGACTATCTATAAACGAATTTCTCCGTATTACAAATTTTTGGGGTCCCATGCGATTTTCCTTAGGTTTCATAGGGGTTCTTTACAAAGAAAATTTTCCTGGTCCCTTGAATATCGTTGCTGAGATTTAAAAGGTGTTATCCAAAAACTATTTTACGGAAGTTGGTGATCAACGATGATCAGGTGTTGAGAGCTACTTCCTAATAATCAATGAAAAAGGGGATCGGAGATTTAATTTGTTTTCCGCGACTTTCAAAGGAAATGCAAAAGTTACTCCGTGAGAGTATTTCAAATGATTATTTATCTTCACACAGTCAATACAATAGTTTCTACCAAGAGCGAAGCAGCGTAGATTCGGTGTTTGGACAAGGTCTGGTGCGGTAAACTTAACGCAACAGAAAATGCACCTGTATATATAGCTTTGGCCGGCCGAGGTCAAAAAACGCGCATAGAAACTGATTCGGATCGGGGACGTCATGCTTTGTTTATTTAAAGGAAGGAAGCGTGAGCACGGTCGGGAAAGTATTCCGTCAACAACGGGATTGTGAAATATAATTGCTAGAGCACCAGGCGCAGCCAAGCAGGTTTGTAACGGGGTCCCCGTGCGACAAAAGCCCGGGACACAAAAGCCCCGCGCGACAATAGCCCTGACACGAAATCCCCGCCATACCCGCGCACAGCTGTAACAAAAGCCCCGCCCGAAATTTTTTTCAGGACTTGTAGTGTTTGGTAGTTGCCGCTGGTTAAACTTCATTACTTTGCTACTGATTGAGGGAAGTACACGAGCTCTTGAAGAAAAACAATGATTTAAAAAAATGAAACAAAACAAATAACAAAAAAGATTAAAATAAAATTCAAAAAAAAAGAAAAAACGGGAAAAAGTTTTTATTTACAAAAAATTAAGAGTCTTTGAAATATTTTCCAAAAAATCCGAACATTCAATAAGTCGGCTTTGATAATCTTTGCACAATTGACGCAGTTTTTTCTGGCGATCTCTCTCAAAAGTCGACACTTGCTTATGTGGAATGGCACCATCTTCGTCAAATTTCTTCAGAGTTCTAGCAACTGATGCAGCGTCTTGTTTCAGGCAGCGAATTAGTAACCAAATGGTGGGATTTTTCTTTCCAACCAGGCCATTGAAATAGCGATTCCAAGCTTCACTGAAATTGTTAGTCGCGCCAAGATCATTGAGCACAGCCTGATGGATGTTCCACTTCTGTGGCGAAAATGTTGGGGTTTGTCTGGTGAAAACAACTGGGGCAATTTTTTTGGGCACTTGACTTGATGGTCCCAAAAATGGAAAAATCCCACCATTTGGTTACTAATTCGCTGACTTTTGAGAGAGATTGCCAGAAAAAACTGCGTCAAATGTGCAAAGATTATCAAAGCCAACTTATTGAATGCTTGGATTTCTTGGAAAATATTTCAAAGACTCTTAATTTTTTGTAAATAAAAACTTTTTCCCGTTTTTTTCTTTTTTTTAAATTTTTTTTGTAATCTTTTGCTATTTGTTTTGTTTCATTTTTTTTAAATCATTGTTTTTCTTCAAGAGCTCGTGTACTTCCCTCTATCAGTAGCAAAGTAATGAAGTTGCTACTACCAGCGGCGACTACCAAACTGACTACCAAGACTACCAGTCCTGAAAAAAAAGTTCGGGGCTTTCGTTACAGCTGTGCGCGGGCATGGCGGGGATTTCGTGTCCCGGGCTTTCGTTGCGCGGGGACCCCGTTACAAACCCGCGGGGACGAGGGTGCACAATCATTCCGTTTTTACGTTGTAAGGATAGTAAATTGACATTGATTTCTATCCTTGAAAAGTCTTATTTTTTGCTGGATTGATGGAAAATTCAAATGTTCTGACAAATTGTCAAATCATCAACACTGAAATTTTTATGGGTAAATTGAGCAGCTTAGAAAAGAAATGGTTGAATATTCTTGTGAGCTTAAGATAAGCAAAGAATATTTTTCACGAATCCTAGAGGTAATTTAGAAAAATGGAATGCAATTTTGGGATGCCACAACAAATGAAAGGGTTTGGTGAGAAATATAGGGGGGAGTAAAACCATAGTTTTGTTTCACAGGCTCATCCAAGACAATAGAATAGGCCGGGTTCGTGTATGTGCATGTGGAAAGTGTTGGAGGGATCCATCATGAAAAGCTGTCATTTTTTTTTATAATTGATGGCAGCATGGTTACTGTTGATGCTAAGAGTATAAACTTATTGGGTAAATTGTTGACGATGCTTATACCGGTCTGTTCACTGCTTTATACCAGCATTGATCACAAGATTAGGCTGTTGAAAATGACTTGCAGCTCACGATTGTCTTGTGATCAATGCTGGTATAAGAATCATCAACAATTTGGATAGAAATGCCAAATGTCGAGATCTGGCTAGGGTCAGCATAAGCAATATCGGTTGCACTTGCGGCAAACAGAAAGGAGAGACGCCAGAATTGAACTTCGCCGTAACTTTGGAAGGGGCAGATATTCTTAAAATCCTCCAGTATTTTCACCCGGTATAGTTGAGAAGAAAAATAGATAAATCACCATATGAAACCACGAGAAAATTTCATCATACAGTATCTGACGAAGATCTTCCTTCGTGCTGTGCAACTTTCGCATTCATGGCACAATTAAAACTTCATTCAATTAAGTGAAAAGTGATTAAAGTTCGGCTTTTGAAATACTGTACAGAAATTTACTCGTTTACGATCCAATGCTGCGAAGGATTTGAAGATTTCCGCCTCAAATTACATCGAAAAGTTCCTGGCTGAACCATTGAAATCATCATGGCGAGAATTTCAGCAGAAAAGGCAAGGAAAATATGGATCAAATAGAGCATAAAAATACATCAAGTAGGAAGTAAGATACGGATCAAGTTCAACATTCTAGTACAGCCCTGGGGGGACTTTTTCTTGCGGGTCCCGGTACCCCTTTTCGTTGGGGACTTACCCACTTGTACTCACAAATGAAACGGTGCTAATCCTGGTTCGATTATTTGTTCATTGGCAGTGATTTCCCAGACATTGAGAAAAGATAATTACTTCACGAGGACCACTTTTCTCTTCTAAATTTTCTCAGAAAATCAAATTTTCTTGTGAAAATACACGAACCTGTAAAACACTACGCTGATGATAAACCTTCTGGCTCGTATCGGGTACCATCCCAGAAAGTGGGCCAGGATGAACTGAAACTTTTCCTCAATGTTCAAATAATTCCCTGCAGGGAAAGCCCAGCAGAAACATAACAAAAACTGGGGGCCAACATTCCCTGGCGGATTAACCCTTACTAAGCTGTTTTGTCCCTGCGACGTTTACGGCGTCACCATTCATGAATCTATTCGGATTTTCTTAAGCTACGGGCGAAATTTTGTTTGAAGCACCTTTCTCACAAACCCTAAGAAAATGCACCTCCCAGTAACTGTTTCAAACTGATCCTTCACGAGATAATCCCATCATCCAAACTTTCTCTTGGATTGTCAGTTACTTGCCAGGTAACAAAGGCTAATCTGTCACCTCACGGCGCCGATATACAGTATACCCAGAACAGAAGAAATTTGGGAGCTATCCTAGTTGGGGGGACCCAAGCACAAAACTACGTCTATATAGATGTCGCTAAGAACGGCACACTGAACGTTCTTGGTGGACACACTCCAATCGTTCAACAACCCTGTTCTGTTGATCCTGTGGTACGCTATTGTCAGCCTTACCATCAGTCCGTTTTATTCTCAATTCAAATTCATTACTGACTCTAAATGAATTTCAATGTGAATTGACACTTGCACTGTTTCATTGGTTCTGCTGAGACTGAATTTGGGGGGCGGTTAGGTAAAGTTAGGTTAGGTCAGGTTATGTTAGTTAAAATATGTATTAATGTTAATTTAAATAATTTGTAATGAACATATAAAATCCATAGTTGAAATATTTTTAACTAACATATCCTGACCTAACCTAACTTTACCTAACTGCCCCCCAAAGTCAGTTTTTGCAGAAAACTCGAGTCAGGTTGTGTTACCTAAAATATTTTCAATGAATACATTTTAAAATGTATGGCTGAAATATTTTTTGCTGACATAACCTGNGTCAGTTTTTGCAGAAAACTCGAGTCAGGTTGTGTTACCTAAAATATTTTCAATGAATACATTTTAAAATGTATGGCTGAAATATTTTTTGCTGACATAACCTGACCTAACCTAACTTTACCTAACTGCCTCCCAAATTCAGTCTCAGCAGAATCAGAAATAACAGTGCCAGTGTCAATTCACATCTTAATTCAAATGCACAGTTGGATTTGTTCCTGCATAGAGAATAAAATCAGACCTGTGGTAAGGCTGACCATAGCGTACCTCACCGGCAGCACAGCAGAGCTGTTGGAGAATTGGAGTGTACAAGGGCTAGGCGCGCGTGAAAGGGAGTAAGCACTGTTTATTGTAGATGGAGCTATAGACGTAGTTTTGCGCTTGGGTCCCCCCAACTAGGATAGCTCCGAAATTTCAATTGAGTGAAAAACTAACATCTTTCTTTTCGGTTTCCTGAAAATCCTGCTCGAACTAACTTAGATGCTTAACAATGTGCTGCAGTGCAGTTTTCGCATGCGTTCAGTGCCATCATCATCACAAACCATTTGCGTTGTCGACCACGACTGAATAACACCATTTCCTGTCGGAAGTGCGAAAGAAAGACCAAAGACAAAACTTACACGCAGTCGAAGATGAAAATCGAGCTGCGAAAATTCACACGGCGTACAAATCAAGCAGCGGAATAGATATTCACTGTTTCCCGTTCTGATCCGCTGTCGTCAAGCTTCGCAATCGTCGACGCGCAGAACTTCCGAAGACGTTGAATCACAGCTCAGTAGTAAGAAATCTAAGCTCGTAAGACATTAGAAGGCGTAAATTGTCATAACTTCATAACTTTCAGAATTTTGCACAATCACAAAATTTGAAACACTGGATGATGGGTCCTACTTGGCTCGAAAAAATTCAGGTTTTAGGGAGAGATGAAAACGGGTTTATGATTAGCTTCTCAACGGACTGGTTGTCGGCTATTGTACTCGGTTATTCTCACTTGCCACTCCTTATATTCGCACAGTTCATCAGGACGGCCAACGAATGGGATTCTCTGAGTGATTCCGTCAGTCGAACGCTTATTCTTTGCCCCCTCTATAATTAAGTACTGGATTTCACTGATATTTGCAGAACATCTTTAACGCTTAGTCTTGTCGTTCGACTCCCAGAGCTTGTACCGAAGATTCGAGCTTTTCCCAAAAGCTCTGCATATTGAAGATGACTTTACAAGACAGTCGTTGCCGACTTGCCGGACGTCTTTGAAAGATGTTTTATACTGCAGCATTTGGAATAATGACGGCGATCACTGCCTGGAGAAAAACAACTACGTGTGGGAGTCAAAATGAAATTCAGCTTTTCGACCATCATTCAGATCACTCAAATCGAAGAGATTTATCGCGAAGCACCTCGTTTCCATCAATCAGCGGGATTATGAGTGCCTCGCACGCAAAGCCGTCTCTCTAAAATTCGGTTCTTAATCGCTGAAAATGCGTCAATTCTTATATTCCGCAGACTTTTCAACGCGTGTACAATTTGGCGACGTGCTGAACAATGCCGTTCAATGATGTACAACAAACTTTGATCAAAACAATAAAAGGGACTTGGAGAGCATTATGATAACTGGTTGCCTGCTGCTCCCCAGAAACCTATATTCAAGCACACGATCCTAAATTATTCACAGACATCCGTCTCATGTTCACTGAAGACGACCACCAGCTGCACAATGCCGAATGTATCGCGCTAATGCACCACGCCGAACGTTCGAGAAGATTCAAGGACATGATCGAAAATATGAAATTACAGTACCATAGAGCATCTTACTCACTTCAAATACAGTGGTGAGATCCCAAGAATACCAATAGAAGGGCAGTCACACCTCATTCACTCGCTCAAGTCGAGGAGCACCGTATTTTACTGTCACTCCTGGCCTCACAACCGTAACCCCGTAAGCGCACAGAATGGCCGACCGCGGCATCTCCCGCGGTAGCTACGCCCACGCTCCCTGGTTGGCGGTCAATTTATTTCATTCAATACGCCAGTCCAGTGACCCTTCCACCATACGGAACCATGCGTGATTCATGCGCCCCTTAAAGTTGTTGCTAATATAATGTGCAGGCTTTCTTGTCCATCAAATTCCTTGGTGGAAATAAGATCCCTTACCCTCCTCAGAAACATGGCCTGCTCCCTTCATAACAAATTTCAGGAGACCAAAAAAAATCCTTGTGGAGAGTCCTAGACAGAACCCAAGGATGTGTTGAGGGAAGAAAATTGTTGTCATTGAGATTGGGTCCAGCAAGTCTACTTGCATTGAGAATCCAGTAGTATAATCCCCACCAGTTTTTAAGGAAACGACAGTCACTGATTGCTTCCTTGAATTCTGTATGTTACACATGACTGAGATTCACTTTGAAAATATTGTAGGTGATTTTTCCAGCATGCTGAGCAGATGCTTTTCTGAATTGAAACAATTTTAGTGTAGGGATAACTTCAGACAATTGTCCAAAATAAAAAGCTTTTTTCCATTGTCCACCATTTCATTGAAAAAATATGAGAATAATTTTTGCATGCAGCAAATTGAGTCAGTTTCCTTATGCAATATAAAAAACAGGTGAGAAATAGTTAAGGAAAAAGATAAAATCCCAATTTAAATGCAAACAATTTTCAAATTTCTTGTGGCTTTTCCAATTCATTTTCCATTCTGGCATGAATTTTCTAAATTTGCATTTTGAGGAAAAATAAGTGAAATTTATTCCTAAATGATACTTCACAATATTCCTGTGATTTCCAAATACTTTTCAACGGCAGATCATTATAAGAAATAAAACATTCAGATGATTTTATTTTAACAGCTCCCCCTTATTCGTTTGCCACTTCAAAAATTCGCTGAAATTAAGAATTGTGATCAAATCCCAGTATAGATTGTTTATTTTACAAAAATTCTTTCTAAAATATGTCAATCATAATGAAAATAGCAAATTGCTTCAACTACAGTACTGCTGTTTCTCAGGATCAAAACATTTTCCTCAATTTTCAGTAAAATGGCTTGAAAAATAGTCACCAGAATTAACTGAAATTTGCCTTGCTGTTGGAATAGCTTTCAGTTCCAATTACTCAGCAAACTTTGCTGACATCAGGCCAGAGGATGAAACAAAATCTCAAATTTCTGGAAGAAGCCCGAAAATATTTCTCTGCTGCTCTCATCATATCGCAGTGTTGAGTGGCATGGAATAATGTATGACGGTATGCTGTGGTTGGCACTTCGAAGAAAAATGAAAACCCAGGTTTTATCTTACAGAATTTATCTGCACATCTCAGAACAAAAAATTCGCACACAACTAGGATAGACGCGCAAGATGCATAGCTGAACAAATTGTTCCCCTGTTCATAGTAAGAAGGAACCATTGTCAGTTCTGCAGGCATAAAAAAAGAAGAAAAAATTTCCTGACCTCAATCCAGGCGTACACGTCCTTTTTCAAGAAGTATTGTCCATTGCTACTCATGAGTTAAAAGGATTCCACAGTTTCGAACAGTAAAAATGAAGCTTTTGGAACCTGAGAAAAAACTTCGTAACGAGCAAAAGTTCATTGTAACGAAATGAAAATTCACGAGGACCAGAAGATGAAGAACAAAAATGCATTGCAAGCAATAAGTTGTCGTAACGATATTCTACTGAACAATATTATGTACAACCATTAAAACCTTTCAAAATCTTTGACCACAGTCCAAAAAAATTAAATCAAGGACACTAAAGAAGAGAAACTCACATTTCCCAATTGACACGACACATATTTTACAATATTTACAGCATTCTCACCCACAAAAAAAAACACACACACACACATTTCGACAGCATGAATCATATGAATGTTCTCAATGTTCAATTGACACTTCAGCGTTAAAAAACCTTCACTCACACCCATCCGAAAGAAGTTCCCTCATCGTACACGCGAAGGTTCAAAATACTGTACGTTATTGTATCCGAAAATGGATATACTGTAGATGAATATCTTTTCCCGAACAAAAAACCATTCCAAATTATTGAACTAGTAGAATTGGCAATAATAATATGCACATCCAGCATTCACTGTAGTTTCTCCAAAACGAGAGCTGATGAGCATCTTTGATGGTTTTGAAAACGATTACGAGTTTTCTCACCTCGTAGATTATTATTTTTTTCAAGCACCTAAATTATGATTAAAATATGCGCTTTATAACAAATAAAAAAGTATCCAGCTTCTTCTGAGGGCCAAGAATTGCGGACTACTGTCCTTCTAGATGAAATCCTCGATTACTGCGTTCGATAAGCTAGAAATACCATAACCTTTGATGAGCTCCTGAATTTGCATCATCATTACCGCTCAGGATACTCGAAAAGATTTTTTATGAACATTTCAACTTCCAGCATCCTGAAAAAATCATCGGAAGAATTTAAAATTTCGCACCCAACCGATTCCCATGCACCCGCATTCTCATCGGCCTACTTGCTTCTTCGTCCTCAGTTGGAAAATAATTCATTCTGTGATCTTGAGAAACTTCCAGATTTGTTCTTGATTATAGAAGGCCCGTCACGATGCTCGTATTCGGGCATTCTTCGTAAATAACATTATCATTCGGAAAAGTTTCAGACGTTCAAGTTTGTTGCTGAAAACGGGAGCTTTTCTAATGCATGAAAGGAACTGCTCTTCCCACAATTAAATTGTGATCACTAGCCTAACACGCTGGGAGATCTTAGAAGCATTCAGGAGCTTTTCCGCATAGGAGGATTTTTTATCAGAACCGGCCCACTGTGATAGGATTCGATAAATCCAGCTATAGAAAATTGGCAGGCTTTTCTTCCATCGTTCCTTTTCCGCTGAAGTTACCAGAGGAAACCTCAATTTCGACAAGGACCCCAGGATGTCACCGTTCGACAGATTTGATTTCACTCTGGGCCAAATGAGCTTGTGAGCGACTTCCATGTTAGTTTTCAGCTTTGTCAAGCGGCTTACCAAGGAGCAAACCTCACGCATGTATTCTTCGGCTTCCTGGTAGCTTCCATCCGGAGGTGGGAGGTTTCCAAAGTCTCGTAAGACCTGCCTTCTATGTCGATCGACGTTCCCGTAATCATTGAACAACATCTGTACGATTTCAAGGTATTCGACGTCAGTATTTTGTCCCTGAATTGCGAGCGCGTTGTCGTAGGCTTGCCCATCTAGATGCATCATGAGCAGGGTGATCCGCTCTTCTGGAGTAAGTTGGTCTTCGGGCGCTTCATGTATACGCCTGAAAGAAG